CAAGTATAAACACACTAGAAACCAACACTACAGACAGTAAATCTATCTCAAAGAAAAGGCTAAACAAAGTCAATAACATAGACAAGACAGATACAGAGATGACCGGATTACCCCAATTCTCAAAAGAACCACAGCAAGGCATAGGATCTGCAAGGAGACCTCGCCACCAGCAAAATCAAGTCAATTATACTGGTAATAATGTCAGCTCAGCCTTTGAATGCCACTCAGAGCTCCGGGACTAGGCTCCGTCAGGTCCTTAACCGGGGACAGGGCGGCCAGGGGCACTACAAACAGAGGACCAGTTCTTTCAGGATTGCTCAAAAAACGTCCAGAAGATGCACAAATCACACACGGCTCTCCTATAGAACTGTTGTGAGGCTGACATAGACGTGGTCCTGATCCAAAAACTGTGGGTCAGTGTAGATAGGAAAAGCCGCTACAACTCACACCCTCAATACAACGCATATGCTCCGATAGACCACTGGGAGGGTACATCGGACAGGCCAAGAGTTCTGTCATACGTACTGAAGAACGCGGGACTCGAGACACAACAAAGCAGGCCAGCCTCAACCAGAGACATTATCTGGCTCACAGTAAACGGAGTCACACTTATGAACTTTTACCGTCAAAGAGAAGAAGCACTGGATCTATTGCTTGCCTGGCCACCTCTTGCCCACTGCATAGTAACAAGAGATTTCAACACAAATGACCCCTCTTGAGAACCAGGAATACCAAGAAGAGCCCGAGGCGGGGAAATTACACAATGGGTAGCAGAAAACCAGCTCACATACATTAGGGAACTGGGAGTCCCTATACACAACGATAGGCACGTCCTCGACTTGACCTTCTCGAACATCTCCTTTACAACCGCAGTAACCAACTACGATCTACATGCAGCCGCAGACCACTGGCCACTGCAAATTACGATACTATCTAAAGGCAGACAAAAAGTGGCTCAACAGAGATACACAGTACCAAATGACAGACTACTAGAGTTCTGTAAGATAATACGTATAAGAACCCCGCTACCAAGCCTCAGCTCCAACCCCACAATAGAAGAACTCGACAAAACTATCTTGGCCATCATAAGCCTCTTCACGCTAGCCCTTAAAACTGTTGGCAACAAATCAAGCAGCAAGAGATGAAACGCTCTTTAGTGAGACGATAAGTATAAGAAAGCAAAAAGAACTTACAAGCTGGTAACAAAGCAATTCAGTATAAACACCCCTACCAACAAGAAACACGCGTATCGAGCGGTAGTACAATATACAAAAAGAGAATATTAAAAAGCCCGCATCAAAAGTATACAGAAAGACTCAGACCTTTTCAAGATAATTGACTGGCATAAACTAGGTCCGGACATAAAATCACCGCTACTAAAAGTCGGCAACTTGACAGTAGAAGACACTACTTAAAAGGCATATGCCTTCAAGACGGCCTTACTAGACAGGCACTTGGCCAAAGACGACCTCCCACACGACCCGTTAGAGATTCCATCGCCCTTCGCGCTACATTAGAATGAAACTCTACAATATCGCCAACCGAACTTGCTAAAATGGTTCTTACGGAAAACACAGCCCCAAGAATAAACTCTCTCTCAACACGACTCCTCAAAGCGGCAGGAATCCACCTAGCTGAGCCGATTTGGCTTCTATTTCAAGTGTTGAATGGAAGCCGGAGATAGACACCGATGCATCCGTTAGTCCAATGTGTTACAGCCCGGAACCCTACCGTGAGCAGAGGCCTTAGGGGTCTGGTTAGGACAACCGCAAGGACACGGCTCCAAAGGACGTATGAACTCACACCGGATTTCCCAAGACTGATCTTAATGGAACCAAGATATACAAAGGACGCTGGCAAAGCTGTTATAACAAGAAGCAAAGCCAAAGAAGCCAAAGTCTTCACAAACTGGCTGAAATTGCTATCACTCTCACACGTAGTCGCTTATTCTAATGGTTCAAAATTTCTGGAGGGGGCGGTGGGCTACGGATACGTGATTTACAGAGGCCGGACAAATATAGCCTCGGGCTGTGGCAGACTGGGCCACCCAGCAGAGGTCTTTGACGGTGAGGCCAAAGGAGCCAGGTACGCACTCAGGCGGGCCCTGAGGCTCAGCAGTGGTGCTCCCATTCACGTGTGCCTAGACAATACAGCAGTGATCTCCGGACTGCAGGGGGAACCAGCTCCGAGCTCTCAAGAAGCTTTCCTCCAATTTCAAGAAATTTCGGACACGTACGCCGACGTACAGTTCCGGTGGGTGCCAGGGCATATGGACATCCAAGGCAACAAAGAGGCCGATGTAAAGGCAAAAGAAGGTACTACCTTGCCAATCCCTACTAGGGCCAAACCTATGCTTGCAGGCGTCCTAGGCCTTCTCAACAAAAAGATTCAAAGAGAACACCAGCAATGGTGGGACGAGAACATCACCAACAAATACAAAAGTCTCGGCCTTCAGAAATTTGACTACACTCAAGTGCCTAAAAGAGCTCAAGCTTAACAGGCCAACACTCCACAGGCTTATCACATCCAGAACTGGCCACAGAGACTTTAGCTGGTACTATAGGAGGTTCAAGCACAAAAAACACTACAACAGCTCTTGCGGGAGAATCAAAACGCGAGCCCACTTTGCTTTCTGCAACAGAGCTCTTACAAAACAGTCTAGGTGGCCACGAAGAAATCGCGGTCACAACGGAGAACCCAAACCAGAAGGGAGGGCCTATTGGAAATGGCTGGTAACGCACCCGAAGGAATTCAGAGATTTCTACAAGTGGACAAAATTCTACACGAAAGTCTGTCCCAGAGTCACGGGACATCAGTTCATCGACAACCAGGCGTAACTACGCCAGACATTACATCTTTCTACTTCTTTTATTACTTTTATTATTTTTCTTATGTTTTCATTCTTTTCTAGCATACAGCCTTTTAAACACAAGGTATTACCGTATTAAAGCAAGAGGAGCTCCTCGACGCTAATCGGACCACCGACTACGAGCTAGATATCACAGAGCACGAGCCCAAATGGCGGGGCCAACGGAAACTGACGGAATAGCATGTGTGCCCTCGAGGTTCGATTTGCAGGTTATCTTAGGAAATAAGGCGTCATGCCCCTATTCCCTTACAGTAAGGCTTGTATGTTAGCCCCTGAGATAGTCACCTGCACGCCAAATGTCCACAAGGATCTGGAGCCTAGAGCCCCTACGGCGTTAAATAAACTAAACTAAACTAATACGGTAGTGAGATGGAGAGAGAGAGAGTAGTGACGCTACATGGGGGTCGCTATGTCATACGGGTTGGCGTAATCCCCATGGGATTCGTCCTCCTCATCACCAGGGATTATATAGGCCGTTGTAGAAGGCTGGGGAGTAGTGGTCTCGGTAGCTCGGTAGGCTGTGAATGACACCGCACAAGGCAGTGAGAATTCGCTCATGTGTCAGGACTTGGAAAACCGCCAGATGATCAAGGGCGGGAGATCCTGCCTTTTATACGGTTGACAGGTTCTGCGGCCTATTTCCCAGATCGTTGCGGGCGGTTCATGAACTGCATCTTAATTTGAGGCCACCTACGCCACATTGCTGAAGAGCCGCAACATTGCTATTGCGTCAACCCAGGTGACCAAATATACAGGTCAAGTCGATGATGTATGATGTGACACAGCTTTACTGGTTCGAGGCTCTGGACCGCAAGGTACTCTCGAGACGGGGCGGAGCACATGTGGTCGGCGTCGTGGCTGCGTCCCGGTCAGCCTACCAGGAAGTACACGCAACAAAGCGCCCGTAGCATTTTGATGAAGCTCTTCAGCAACCCAATAACCTGCAATACCAATGACAGAAGGTATCTGAATCCTGTAGAGCATACTACTAATTTTCTTCGTAAGGCCTTTCCTCTCGATTGCTCCGGCCCCAGGTGATCACTGTGGCACCACCAAGTCCAGAATTCCCCAGCACATGCCTGCGCACATAAAATCAGAGCAGTTCTTTCTCTGCATCATCGTCCGGAAAAACAAGAACACCAACACCAACTGAATTTGACGAGCCACTGTCGTTTTGGTGAGTACACCTTGGGGTAGCGTCCGGGGCCGATATCTCAGGGGCCAGTAATACGATGAAGTAGACCCTTACACCCCGATCTCGACCTTCAGCCATGGAACTTGTCTTCTACGAATCATGTCGTTAACCTTGTACTATGTCACGATGCTCCTTTACTGCCCTAGAGTCTCAACTTTCTGCTACGAAGAACTATTGACACCCGTGACCATGTATAAGGTAAGATCTATTATGAACATGATCTGCTTCAACACAGCCGGAAATCACGGGGGATCGTTTTCACCCCAAGAAGCGAGTCACAAAGTATTGATTCATCAGAGGCAATCAATCTGCTGTATAATGGGAGTCACGACAAATAGCAGAAACAAGTTCGCGCTTATCTCTCCTTACTTTTTAGGCAAATGACTAGTCATTATATATGCAACTGATAAACATGAGTTCTTTTCGATATTGAGGGTAATACCAGGCTGTCCCAGTAAATATAACTTCCTCCTGGCCACCACAGCTATGTGGTACATTTCCCACGTTGCCAAGAACAAAAAGTCTGGCTCATCTGCTTGTTCTCTTAGGGGAAGTGGGCTTCATTCTAGCCCTTAACTATATTCTTCCAGAAGTTGAAGCTCGTACCGACAAGCGAGATGTGCGAAGACGCATACTGGGCGATAACGTTAAAGGGCGGCAGGTAGACGTCAACAGACACATGATAGAAATGTACGGCTTGGAATACCATGCCGGTTATGGCTCCGGCAGCATCCCTTTCGCCGAAGCCCCAGAACTGATACGCAACATGGAGGACTACGTGTCCCTGCCACTGGAGACCGCCTTGCACCAGACATTTGACTTCGATGAGGCTGTTTTATGCTCGTATTTCACGGGCAGGGCATGGGCATTCATGCAGACTCAGCGACTGGCCTTAGACCTTACGTGGTCTTCCTATCCTTAGGGGGGCCTGCGGCCATGGATTTCTACATGCGACCTGAATTCGAGGCTGACAAGTCTGCGGGCAAGGGTCGGAAGATGACCACCGATAACCCACTTCTTCCGGGTTGTAGAAGCCGGAAGGAACTACTGGCTTCGCAACAGCAGCTCAAGGACGGTATCCTCACCGAGCAAGCTTACCGGAAACTTATCCAAGCAGCTGTGAAAGATCACAAGCTAAGAGACAGCCGCTCACCGTGGAAGATCTTGAGACTACACCTCCGATCGACACCACTCGATGGATTCTCCAATCTGCCATAAATCATACTGCATAGACACGCACCAAATCGATAATTCGCCAATCTGTAATCGGTCATACTGCAGAACACCTACCAGATCGAAAATCCGCTAATCTGCCATCAATCATTCCCCTTCACAAATCTGCCCACCGAAGCAACTCTCGTCCACCAGTCTGCTATTCCTCGTGATGGCTGACAACGGCTCATTTGACGAAAACTTTCCGTCACGTCTGCCGCCGCAGTTCCACGGCGCTGGGGACGCGCACGGCGACATCCTGCTCCAGAGCGGAGCTGGCGTTCAAAACTTCCATCTCCAGGACATCAAGCAGTTGAAAACTTTAGGAAAAGATGAAACTATTTACTGAGAAGCACAAATGAAAATACAGGGGATTCAAATATCATACCATTTCGTGTTTCTCGTCCATCCACGCTGGCTGTTTCCGTATCTGTCGGCGCTCGTAGTAGTACCAAGCGATCGCCAGACCGAAAGTGAGCGCCATCAGGGGCACAGACACCTCAAAGAACCGCTCTAGCGCCAGTTGCGACGGTGCGGTCGTGTTACCCGAGGTCGAATCATCACTGCCGTCGTTCTGGAACGTCACCGCATTGGTACTGAAGAATGTCTAGCCCGAATTGTGAGTGAACTTCTTAAACTTGATCATTGGGATAAAGCTCACCGAGACGAATGTTGCTGGCAAGTAGAATAGTGTGATGACGGTTATGATACGGACAGCAATGGCTTCTAGCCCTGCCTTTTTTGCCAGCTTCTCTTGGCGTGCCGTGAGTTCCTCCTGTCTCGCTGCCGTCTGCGCCTGGAGGTGTTGGATTAACTACATAAATCAGCCTTCATAGGAACTTATACATTTGGAATGTGCCCAATACTCACGATCTGTTTGCGATCTGAAACCAGAGTTGAGAGGACTTTCGCCCGTTTGATTTGCATCCTGGTGTCGTAGATGTACTCGTCCATCTGCGATGCAAACTCGTTGACGCTGTGAGTTGCACAAGAGCGCACTTGTGTTGGGAAGTCTTGGTCTGATACAAGATTCACATAGAAGACCTTCAGTCGGTCCATGATTTCGGCATTTGCTTCCAGGGCCGTAATGGTTTCCCGAAGCTTCTCATCCCGCTTCTGGATGATGGTGAGTGACTGCGGTTCCCACCGCAGTTTCATACCGGCATTATCGATGAAGTGGTAAGTCTAAGAAGTGATCAGCGTGTTAGTTCCCCAATAGGATGAGCTTTAGTAGCCACTTACGATGTTTTCTATGATTTCCTCCGACGATTCGATATGCCAGCGCCACTCTTCGCACGCCCATCGCGTGAAAACCATGTGAGTCTCAATGCTAGTCCTGAAAGCCTGGTGGATGGTTCCGAAGCGATGAGCATGGCTCCTCTCCTCGTGGATATGTTCCCTTACGAGGCCATTCATTGTTTCCAAGGGGTCCCCAATGATCCAAGATTGGGTTCCCTTCTCAACGTCGAATTGATGATACACTGACGCCTGTCGAATCTTCCAACTCATGTTGATCAAGTTGCTCTTGTCTATATCTTTGACTGCAACTGTCTTCAGGTTGTAGCACATCTGGTATCTCTTACCGCTTCGGTTGAGGGCGTCGAGTACCAGGCCTGGGTTGGGATCAGCCAGGGTCTTCTCCGTGCGGAATCCACTAAATCGTAGTTCTCTATCATCGCCATTCCTTCCACCGTACGCGTACAAAAAGTTCAGAATGGACGGCATGACCTGGAAGTAGGAAAGAATCCGTTGCAAGGCTGCCGGTGTGAGCTCGAGCGGCTGTGTGGACCCTGCTGCGACGAGAAATCTGGATCACTTGTCAGTGGACAGTCCCGTGCAACACCATACCTGATGGGACTCATATAACATACATGAACCGACATAACGGGTCCGACCTCACATTGAGGTATTTTGTTTGATCAGCAGGGTCTTGTTGGAAGCTGTCGCCTAGCCACTCTCCCAGCTCTACTTCCGAGAGTAGATTTCTTTGTTCGACCAGGCCTGAATCGAGAACATCCCAGTAGGGAATATAGAGCTGTTTTTCCGGGACGAAAAGGTCTTGACTCTGTTGACGGTTCTGAAAGCGCTCCTGGCAAAGTTCGAGTAGTGGCACACCGTATCGGGACCGGCCGACCAGCTTCCGAGGGTATTTGTCATACGCTTGGCAGGACTTGAGGAACTGCGTGGGAATGTAGAGCGACGGCAATGGCGACGGCGATGAGGATGACATTGTGATACGCAGTTAAACATTCAGTAACGAGCGATATCGACCTCGAGTGAAGAGCTTGGATGTATTTGACTGAAAGTTCCGGAGCCGTCGTGATGATAAGTGCTCCTGCAGCGGCGGCTGAGCCATTGCAAGAATGCCTTGCACAATGCTACAGTGCCACCCCCAAAGTATAGTGTGGCAGTTGACATAGCCACTCAGCACTCCTCGAGACCCCCTAAGTTCCGTCGGCGTCGCATACGGACCACCGTTTGCTGCTCATAAGTTCTTACACTTTGCTCAGCCGCAGACCCCCCAATAATTGCCCTGGTAGATGCAGCGCCAAGTCAGCCGCTGGCTTTGAGGCACAGCTTGCCCGGGTGCTTCTAGTTGTTGGTGAGCATCGGCTGACGATCTCAATTGCGAGCGCAGAGGTAACAGCAATGAACGACTGGTTTCTTCTGGTACTGGGGGATTAAGCATGTAAATAAGAGGGTTAGCCTTGTGTTCTAACTCATTATCATTCCGAGTCCGAGCTTTTACTCCTGCTATGTGTCTTCGGCTTCCGCTCCTTCTGCCTCTTCTCCTCCTTTGGATCAACAATCCTCAATTTGTCAATCTCCTGTCTTTCAGCCTAGGAAACAGCATTAGTTCATGATAGCCTTTCTTCTTGGAAGAGAGATTCAACCTTGGATAAGTCGCGGGGGAGTTGGAGGACATAATAATCATCCTTGATTCCCTTCTTCTAAGGAGCGACGAGGTTAGCTGCCGAATGGTGCAGACCAATGGGACCAGGGACAGAGGCCGGTCTCACGTTAAACTCCTTCAACTCCATCTGGAACTTCGTTTCGATGTAATTTACGAATACCGGACACGGCAGGTTATAGGCTTTGACTCTCACGGGAACGAGAGAGCCGTCGCGCTTGAAGATATCATCCGTGTTCGACCGTGAAATGCGTTGCTGAGGGTCTGTATGCGGGGGCCTGGAGCCCTGAGCCTGTGAAGAGTCACGACTCCAGGTGAATCGCTTAAATAACGGGCGAGACATGACAGAGCTCGTCGGTCGCATTGGAGAAAACTTGGGCCACAGCCTGCTTGAGGTGTTACGCAAGGCTGGTCTGATGAACGGAGTGGGCGCACGCAGCTGTGACCTTGTATGAACAGGTCAAGGCAGATTTTTGACTTGAGAGGGAGAGCATGAAGTCAGCTTGGGGAAGCGCATCAATCTATGTAGACGGCGGATGGTGGTATATCTGCCAGACAACAGCATGCGAACCACGGAATAAAGGTGGTGTGAGAGTGGCAGAACAAGGCAACTAGGCGGCGAAGGTCGATTGCTGCCTTATACCAGGGGTCAGACAGAGGTTACTTAGGTAGACTGACGCCCTATGCGGCTATGCCGATGCACTGTGCCCACCTATCTTCCTAGGATGGCAGCATCACGAACTGGCTCGAGTCACAGAGTGAACATAATAGCCGGTATGTGCCTTGACACGCCAAGCCCTTGAGGCTGTGCGATACTGCACAATACATGCAGCGGGAGGATCGTTGATCGATCGTATTCTGTAGGTGAGTAATAACTCCCCACGGTACTGGAGCGCCGCCAAAGGAGGGGAATCCCTGCCACTATGCTCTCTATCGTTTCTCTCGGGGAACCACTAAAGACCTCCATGGGCAATGGGGTCGATCGATTGATTGTTCAATTGTTCGCTGGAAATAGTCCATGAGGTGACTCGGGCGTGACTCAACTCGATCTTTGACAATTGATAGCCAACAGTTGACTGCTTCAGAAGCTACGTCTTATAAGAAAGACACCCTGACCAGTCATGTATTTCCCTGATGACCTTGATGTGCCAAAGAAAGCTTCCTGTCTCCTGGTCAGCTCCTTGATCTCTGTCCATTGGCACACTGCAGTCAGCATGCAGCATGCAGCATGCGGCGTGCACCACCACCACCACCACCACCACCACTACCACCATCATCAAAAGATGGGTTCCCTCCCAGCCTTGTGTTGAGGATAGGTAACGAATCTTCTACATATTCTTCGTCTCTGCCGCCGTAGTTGATTTGGGCCTATCCAACTACTTCGCATTGGATCAACTCTCGCCGTCTTTTTTTGCGAAACAGAATCCGGGTTGAGTCTCAGGGGTAAACACATGCTTGCGCCCCGGGGGTTCTGTCGAGTGGGGATAGTTTGACCCAATGCCCTGCCTCCATCTTACGAGTGTACTCCCCCTTGAGACAAGATGTCTAATCGGACCACAAGGCGCAGTGCTTCTCCTGTTCGTAGCTTGCGAACCCAAGATTCCGCCACCTTTGACGAACAGCACGAGATCGCCCTGGCAGAATTCAAGGAACACCGCAAAACGTACACACGGAAGATTGCCCACGAACCCGTCGTCCGCGGACCCGTCCCCCGCGAACCCACTCCCCGTGAACGCAAGTTCGTGTTAGTCGACGCCCTGACCGCGAAACTTCGCAATAAGTCCCCGACATGTGGCTTCAAGTACGAGCACGATCTTGAGCGATTGTACATGACAGCGTCTTTCAAGCAGTCACTGGAGCCCCCAAGTGTGAATGGAAACATATTGGAAGACAAGCTCTTGCGGATATTCTATATACTGCTCGAACTTGGCTACCCCCAGCTCACAGAGCTATTCCACAACCAGGGTCTCGATGACACGCACCTCCCTCTGGATGAGAGGACTCTCTCGTCCAGGATTAACAGTCGGGTACTTGAGGACGAACTCGGCATGCACGACGTCGATTTTTACAGAAGCTTCTGCGACCTACAACGAGACTGGTGCCCCATGGTTTTCGAATTGGAGATGGGCAGGGCATCGACCGACCAAATCGTTCCTCTTTACATGAAAGAACCGATCCAACCTCATCGAGACGACCGACCCCCTCCAGAGAGCAATGCAAGGCTTTGGAAAGTCGATGTTCCCGAGGAACTGATTGGGCCCAAGCTACGGAAAACCTTGATTGACAGCCTGTGGCGTGAACAGGATGTAAAGACAGGGCTTGTTGACAGCGACGGCAAGGTAGTCATCCAATTCACACTTGAACTGTTGAAACACGTATTGACCCAACCTTCCAGGAGCTTACCCAGATGTGCCGATGTTACCGTTTTGCCTTGAAACAGTTCCGCAGCGACAGGAAATCAGCTTTCGATCGAGAAAGAAAAATCTTCTATGCACTGGGGCCCCAGAAAGGCTTAATACAATACATTGGTTGGTATGATGAGAAGGACCAAGACGGCCAGCAGCTGTACAATATTGTACTCGAGTGCGGGGACTTCGACCTCTACACTGCCTTCAGAAACCAAGCCCCGCCAGTGTCCCCTCCCGAAATCAAAGGCTTCTATCAGGGTATGCTGGATGTCTCGGAGGCATTGTACAAGATCCACCAACTTAAAACCGGGAATTTCTTCTACGACGTGTGAGTCTTTCGCATGCTGAGTCTTTCGGATTCTATGATGGCCATGATCGCTGACCACCTCCGTGCAGATGGCATGCTGATGTCAAACCAGAGAACATCTTGCGTGTACAAGAATGCTTCAAGTTAGCGGACCCGGGAGAAGCTCACATCAGACTGGCTTCAGGCGGCGGAGGACCTGCTAGAGCGGTCGTTACAGGCGGAACAAGAGTTTATGGTATGTAATTGACCCTTGCGGATCAACATGTCCTGACACTTTTTTTCATTAGGGTCTCCAGAAAAGGCAGCGTACATCGACAACCACGCCACCGCCCCGGCTAGTATCCCCCAGAACAGCGATGTCTGGTCGCTCGGGTGTGTCTTCTCAGTCGCCGCAACTTACGTCGTCCTTGGTCCACAGGGCGTATTGCAATATGATAAGATCCGTCGACATACGCCAAGAGCGAGTCAGCAGGCCAACTTTGACGGCATCAATGGTGCGTTCCATGATGGAAATAGAGTGTTGAAGGTTGTCACAGAATGGCACGAATACCTGAGGAGCGCAACCAGGCGCACTGATGCATTCACGGCGGATGTACTCACAATGGTCGATGAGCACATGCTAGTCACGCCCGAGAAAGAACGTTGGGATGCCAAGCAGGTTGAGAGCCATTTGCGAGACCTGTTGAATGATCCGAAACTGCAGGCATGCCCGGTACCAGACACTATTGAGAGCATCCTACAGGAAATCGACTTACAGGCTGAGCAATACGAGCTGTCGATCCACGACAGCAGCCGAGTTGACTCAGTCCGAACGAGAAGAAGCCTCCAGGCAATTCAGGCTTCGTGCGTGGACTTCAAAAGCGCAGACGAACTACTCAACATGCCAGTCCTACCTACCGCACAGCGATCCGAACAGAGGACGAACAACGCCCAGAAAGCCGTTCAAACCCGAGAGAAACCTCTGGGCCAGACTGTTCTTCCGCGCGCGGCCTCCGATCGTACATTGACAGCCGAATCATCTGGCCAGAGCCACACATTTCCGCGGCTCAGCACAGGAGACGCAAGTGCGTCCGAATCAGCGTTTGCAGATGCTGCAACAGGACCAATGGTTCGTCCACCTCCGATGACAATGTGGCAGGTGGAGGACCAACTCGAGAAGATTGGGAAACAGAAGACCTTGGCCAGTTTCAGACATGGCTTGCGATCTCAGCCAGTCTCGGTGAAGGGGGTCATAGACGGCTACGACGACCTGAAGCCATATTACAAGAACAGGGATATTGTAAGGCGACACACTGATGCTTCCTTCTTGGCCCCTTCCTGCTCTGACATATCTTGCAGATCTATCTTGTCGACAATGGCTCGTCTATGCTAGACCACTGGGGTGAGGCCAAATACCTGTTGCGGGTGTTGGTGTGGAGGTCACTAGGCTACGATGACGACGGCATGGAGCTATACTTCACTGATCCCAAGACAACTGCCAAGGTCTCCCGAAGAAAAACACAAATCGTCGAGAACTTCATGAGCGCCATGGACCAAGCAAAGCCCCGCCCACGTGGTCGTGGCGAACACCGCACCCATCTTCTCCTAAAACTGAGTGATATTGTCAACGACTATGCGTCAAAGAAGTATAACTCTGCGATTCGCGAGAAGGCAAAGACTATCATCATCTTCACTGATGGTGTCTGGGAGGATCAAGGGGAGGTGGAGACAACCATCGAGAACTGGTATGATCGTCTGAGGATGAGGAGCCTGCACACGTCTTCCAACTCGACACATCAAGACCAGGCGGTCCGTGCCGACACTCCACAAGGAATTCGGGAAGCGTCTTCGAGCCACTTCGCCGAAAGCCGACCTATCACGTTCCAGTTTGTTGCATTTGGGCATGACGCTGAGGGCATCGACAGAATGAAGAGACTCGACGACAACTTCCAGAACACCTGTTACCCGTGAGTGATGCTGACTAGGACTGACATGCCCTATCGCTGACATAGCTTCTCAGGGACCTCATCGATATGGAGCCATCTAATGGGGATGTGTACAAGATGTTTCTTGGAAGCTTGGACTCGAGATGGGACACGCAAGAGAATACTGTCAATGCCATGCCGTCGACACCCATCTACAGCCCACCCTCTTTCCACGGAAGCGCTTCCCGATCTCGCGCCGGTACACGAACTAGCGGTCCACTACCCTCGCCTATGTCACTGCCTTCGCCCCAAGATAACTGGCAGGGCACAGAGGAGCCACAGACAGCATCCGGTGGAGTGACGATCTGGCCCTACCAACCGCAGAGTTCTACGCAAAGCCACCAAAGCAACATGCAGAGCAGCAGCGACGGGACCCCTCCACACGGACTATTCCGCGATTGAGCTTCTGCGCCCAGGAGTCGGCCGGGAGGTTCGAAAGGGAAAGCTGACTCATTTCATCTCGTTGTGACCATTTTCCCTTTCCACCGAGGTTGAACTGCTGGCGGTCGAGAGTGTCTCCAGGCTTTCACTTCCCTTGAGGTGCTTCTTGTTTTCCTTTCCTTTTCTTTCCCGTCTTATAGCGAAGGTGTTTGGCTGCAGGCAATCGAACAGATAGGCCCGCCGCACCAGGCGTTTTCTTAGGTTGCTACACGGAAGGCAGGATATATACCCGGTCGGATTAACTTCGCATTGCGCGGAGTTTGGAGTTCAGGTCTCGTGTTGTCGATGTTTTTCCCTTGCTGTGAAGAGTCGCGAATGCTCAGATAAATCAAATAAATCATCACAAGAAACATCACTACCACCATCCTGATTCTGCTGACCTGCGGGGCGCCACCTAGTGTGATACAAAGCTTTTAGAGGACTTGCAGCTCCAGAACGGAGCTGGCGTCCAAAACTTCTATGCCCACATCAAGCAGTTAGAAGCTTTAGGGAGAGATTCCCTTACATTACCTACCTTTCATTGAACCAAGCCACGGACAACAAGGCAAGGTAAGCACAGTTAGGAGACGACTTGACGAGCTGATTGATGAGTCAGTAGTTTCGAAGAAGGTGAGAAAGGAATGACAAGAAGGGCCAACATTACAATATCTCAATGAAAGGAACGCGGAGCAAGATACCTGCTGTGTTTAAAACTTGTATACTTGAACCCCAGCTTTAAAACCGAGCCCCTGAAAAGATACATACCACTGATCGTGCCAGCTGAAGTTGAGTCCAAGACGCATCATAGTTCATACACTGCGGTGATGCAGAAATGAAAACACCCGTGCAAGATGTAGTTATCTGCTAACGCACGTCAATGCAAGCAAGCGGTATCATATATTGTCCGGAGTGGCACGTGACGGTGTCACACCAGGCATGAAATGATCCAATGTCATCCACCCATGAATTTACAAATCCCGGACGTGTTGGGCCTGCTGGTCGATGTGATCGAGGGTACGAACCTCTCCCACCGGCTTGGCATCTTGGTCCCCAAATGGCGGCGTCCACCTGCATCGGTCTCTATGGCGACTGTGCAACTTGTGTTGGGTACACGGCAAGACCACACGAGCTGGCAGGAAGCCGAGCTCATCGTCACGTCAGCTTGACGTGATGCAAGGTGCCATTCGACGTGGCATGGTCTTCCAGTGCCCTCCAAGGCTTGACGCAGATTCCTTGTAGACTGTAGTCAGTCGAGCAACTGTCCTATGAGGTATGGGTACACGAAGGTGTTGAGGAAAGCGAGCTGTACTACCGTGAGCAACACGTCAACGGGAGGATCACATGTTGATACCGATGGAAAGCTGCTTGACATCTGGGTGGAGGCAGAAAGACGCGTCTGCAGTTACCCAGAATCCTGCTCGTCGATCAGGGTACCGGCGTCGACATATTAGGAGAGCTGGCTGGAGCCCCCCTTCATGAGAGCTCAGCTGAGGGTATCTTGGTCCAACGAGATCCAAACACCACAGGCCAGCCCCAGCTGAGCGTTTCTCATCTCATTGATATCCCACGCCTCTGTATCCCTCAAGGTGACATTCCGATTGCCAGTTTTGACTTTGGGTAGAGAACCTTTGGGAGCAAGGTGAGGTAGCAAGGTGACCATGGGAGTGTTTCATGTGGTCCGATAACACAGATCTATCGTGGGACCTTCAAAAAAAGATTGCCAAGGGGCCCCAAGGTCTCGTCTCGTCCAATATTCAAGATTCCGGCGCCGATAGCTCCCCCAGTCTTGATGCTAGAAAGCGGAGCAGTGAATACCCGTTGGGCCTTGACGCACGGGGCGGTCAACACGTAGCGTGGGACCAGGCGATGTTGGGATGAAGAGCCGGTTGAAGGACCAGGGGTCAGGAAGTGAATGGGGCAGGCGTTGAAACTCTGCTTGGGAGAGGTAGTTACACATGCTGCCTAATGTATTGTGTGTTGATGATAGGTAGGCTAATAAATCAGTGTGACACGTTGTAATAACCATGACTCTCACAGGCGTTGGTAAGGGATGGTGACTTGGAATGGGGAGGAACAGCCCGACTCACGAATTGACAGCCAATCAGTGACCGATCCACCGTCCCACGCACTGTCCACACCCACTTGACGGGCTCTAACAGGGCATTCAGGGGTCCGGATTACGTAGCTTGGTGTGTGTTAGTGCGTGCCTAGAACCAAGTACCCGCGTTAGTTGCACGGTACGGGGAAGAGCCCACTGATACCCTGGCCTGGGAGGCTGGCCTTCACTTGGTCACTTAAACACTTTATTCCTTTGCTGAGAATAGATCAGTGTGCATCGTGAGATCCGCGCCAGACAGCTTCTTGCTCCTCCATCTTCCTCCTGTATTGTATTTCTCGTTCGTTGCGCATGACTTCCTGAGACACCAACGAACCAGGAAAGACTGCAATCTGGCCCCGTACGCTGTAACCGAACCGCGAGTCATATCGATACCCGATCTGGTCGCGACAGAACCCTCTGCATGCCTGTGGCCCTGTCGACGTTGCGCCCTGCATGAACGCGGCCTCACATCCACGTTTCGCACTCTCGACCATTCGAGCTTGCAAGCCCTACGCGAACGCGCCATCGACCCGGCATCTCGCTGTGGACCATCACCCGAACCCCAATCGTCACCACCCATACCGACACTCAACTAAACCCACGACGCCCAAGCATGGCTGACTTTAGCCGAACCTCCCACGACTTGCCCTCCCACCTACAAACAGAATACGAACAGCCCGGAAGCATGTCTCTGGGGAACACTACAAACCCTGCTGCCGAGGATGGCGCTTCCGGTTCACCAAACGGAGTTGGACCGGGCCCGGGAGCTGGACCTGGGGTGGGATCGGGTATGACGACGGCCGGCGCACCTGATGGCGCAAAGCCTGAGATGTCCAAGCAGGTCCAAGAAGTGCTGGGCTCTGATGTATGGCACTCGCTACGAGACCTCGCTACGAAACAAAACACGGCTAACGTAGATAGATCGGTGTTTCGACCATGCTGAACCGACTGAAGCAGAGCATCGCATCGGCCAAGGTAAGCTCCAGCACTACGCCTCGCCATGCCAGTAGCTATTGCTGACTAGCTCCAATCATAGGAGTTTGCTCTGTTCCTGAAGAAACGATCGGTCCTCGAGGAAGAACACGCAAAAGGCATGAAGAAGCTCTGCAGATCGGCACAAGACAACCTCCACCATGCCGACCACCGACAAGGCACTTTCGCCCAGTCATACGAGGAAATGCTCATGATCCACGACCGCATGGCCGAGAATGGCACACAATTTGCCCTATCTCTGCACCAGATGCACGAGGACCTGCTGGAGGTGTGTGCGGTAGCCGAGAAGCACCGCAAGGGGTGGAAGCAAAGTGGTCTAGCTGCGGAACAGCGCCTGACCGACATCGAGTCACAAATGCGCAAGTCCAAGACCAAGTACGACTCGTTGGCCGAGGAATACGACCGGGTCAGAACGGGGGAGGCAAGACAAGGACCCCGAGTCTTCGGTATCAAAGGACCCAAGTCTGCTGCGCAACAAGAGGAGGATCTTCTGCGCAAGGTCCAGGCAGCGGATACCGATTATATGGGAAAGGTCCAAACCTATCAAGGCGAGAAGGCCGCCATGGTATCAACGACACGCCCGGAGGCCATCCATGCATTACAGGACCTGGTCAGAGAATGCGATTCAGGTACTTCCTTGCAGATGCAAAAGTTTGGTAAGTCTGGCAAATATCGTGTAAGCTACCCATTACTGACACTTGGATAGCATCTTTTAACGAAAAGATACTGCTCAGCAATGGACTGGTCATCAGCCCGCTCAAGAATGCCACGCTTCCTGGTCAACACTCCCGTAGTCTAAAAGAGGTCATCAGAGCCATAGACAACAGGAAAGACCTCGAAGACTATCTCCTCAGCTTCCATAGCAAGCTACCAGCGACCACATCAGAACCAAAATACGAACGCAACCCTGTAAGTAATGATGCGTCGGTCCATTGATCGTCTTGAAAGCTCACACTCTTAGGTCCTGAACCCACAACAGAACATGTCTTTAAACCAGATGACCTCAATGCACCAAAACCAGCAAACGCGGCCGCAGTCACAGACTCAACAACTGCCGCCGCTACAGACGCAGATGCCACCGCCGCCAGGGTCAGTGGGACGCACTAGCACTTTCGACACAAACTCATCTCCCATGGCACAACAGAACTTCAACTCCCCCTCAGTAGCAGGTGCCCCGGGATCATCATCTGGGCAGGGTCATGAGAGAAGTTTCAGTCATGGGGCGTTGCAGAACCAGTCGAGCAAACCCCAGCAACCGTATAACGTGCGGAATTCAACACAGGCTCCTCCTCCGTCTTCACGGTTCAATGGTGGTGGCATTGGCAACACCATGAGCCCTCAACAAAGTGGCCCACCACAGCTTGGAGCCCTCCCATTTCAAACCCAGCAACCCGCAAGACAGTCTCCTCAGCAGAGTGGCCCAAGTGCCTACCAGCCGCCTCCACAACAGGAGGCTCATCCTGCCAGCTCAATGGCACCACCTGGCGCCAGCGCTGGCCATGGTGGGCAGGCAAAACAGGTCTTCGGCGTTTCCCTTGCGCGATTGTACGAACGTGATCAGTTCGCCGTACCCATGGTTCTTCACCAGTGTATACAAGCTGTCGACTTGTATGGTCTTGCTGTAGAAGGCATATATCGGTTATCTGGCTCGTCAACACACGTGAGCAGGCTCAAGAACTTGTTCGACACCGGTTCGTTTCCACCTCCATGCCGCAGGCCAACTATCGCTAACTGTTGTCTAGACCAAGAATCGCATATTCTCGACTTCCGCAACCCGGAGAACTTCTTCCACGACGTCAATAGTGTTGCTGGTCTACTAAAACAATTCCTACGTGACTTACCAGAACCCCTATTGACTTCGGAGCATTACTCGGCCTTCATAGAGGCAGCTAAGCATGACGACGACATTGTCCGTCGGGACAGCTTACACGCCATCATCAACGGCCTGCCAGACCCCAACTACGCCACACTGCGCGCCCTGGCCCTACATCTGCATAGGGTCACGGAGAACAGCGCCGTGAACCGCATGAATTCCCAGAACATCGCGATCGTGTTCGGGCCGACGCTGATGGGGACGGCACCCGGCAGCAACCTCGCGGACGCGGGATGGCAGGTCCGCGTTGTGGACACCATCTTACAGAACACGTACCAGATCTTCGATGAGGACTAGATGGGCGGATGAGGGAAGCGAAGCGGGGCGGCAACTCTGTGCCATGTAGTCTGAGGGACCTGCCATTTCAATACCCCCAAGTCGTAATTAGCAAGGACAAGCCACCGGAATTTCAACAGGGGAGAAGGGGTCTAATGAGTAGTACGCCTCCTTGCTTCCGCAGCAGCATGTTTGGTAGTCTGAGCGCATCATTTTCGCCCGCGACGGATACCAGGGATTATTTTCGTTGCTCGGATCGTCGGATTGGGGGACTAACTAGGTGGCCGGCGGATGGCTGCCTTTTGCTTTATAATTGCTGTAGCATATCGATAGCGTCTGGAATATCGAGCGGGATTGTATGATTTGAGTAGTTTCGCAATGAAGACTCGTTGGATGTATGTATGTATGTATTACTTCATGTCGTGATTACCTCTTGACGAGCCTGGCTTTTGGTACGACAGACGTATGGCTCACTTGCTCAGGCGGCTCTTCTCGTACATTCGCTATGGCTTTTTCATCGCGCGGCGGGCCTCCCTGCCATGCTTCATTCCGTGCTCCTCATCATCGCCATGTCTAGCCCGGACACAGCAAGTGAGCTCTAATTCCCTGAACTCTCATTGTTTGACCGGTCAACCAACCCGAATCGACCGAGTCGCATATAACATACATGTCGAGAACGTGCGGCGTTCATACCCATGCGTGCCGCAGGTCTCTTACCCCCATCGCATCACGTTGCGTAAGGCATGATTTATCTAGGACGGCGGAGCGGGCGGCGGGGCCCCGGTGCCCGTCGCGGCGCGCTGCTGGCCGCCCGCTTGCGGGGGCAGGAACATCGGGAGGTAGGTTACGGCGAGGGCCATGACTGCAGATGGGACACAATCAGTCCCAGTCAGTCAGCTTGGTTAACCTTAAATCGGTTTGCGGAGGATGGAACAGCGGATAAGGGGGCGCAAGGAAGTTTTTGTTGTTTGTCTGGGATGGGACGTAGACATACCGGACATGCCCACGGTGAAGTACCCGGGCGTGCTCGACGTCTTGGTCGTCTCGTCGCTCTCGCCCAGCCAGGACTGCAGGCTGAACACGACGGACGCCCAGCCGATGTACCGGTTGCGCGTGAAGATGGCCGCCATGGGCAGGGTGGAGCTGAGGGTTGATGACATCTCGGGGGTCTCGCTTGATTTTGCGGCGGGCTCTTGGTAAGGGACGGCTGTTGGTGGGGGGAGTGGTTAGTTGTGGTGGTATGTTCTGGCTGACTGGCGGGCTGGAAGGGCTGGATGTGGTGGTGAGGCTGTTGGTGTGTGGTGGTTGTGACTTACCCAGGTCCGGCCGGCGCATATCCTTCTTTGATACCATTGCGTCTGTATGTGAGGTTCTCTTAGATAGCTGGCTGCTTCGTGGCTTTGGAGTTACGAGAAAGGAGCGTATTGGGTTGGGATGAAGCTGTTGTCGATTGTTGGCTCGACTTGCGATGGCTGTTCTCTCAGAAGATGTCGTCGTGAGCTTGGCGGCTTGGGCGAGGCTACCCTGTCGCTTGAGCAGGGGGATCTGGGGGTGCAGGGCGCTAGTACGTAAAAGGTTAGAGCGGCGCGGCGATTGGTGAAGATAACGCCAGATCAGGACAGGCTTCTTAGCGCAGACCGCATGACGATTCGGGGCTGAGCGCCACCAAGCATGGAGCCACCTCAGCCAGCTCAGCCACAGCGGGGTCGAGGTTTGTCAGGGGCAGGGCCCCCAGATTAGACAGGAATCTTGGTTGGGATTCGGCGCATTGGCCCGACCCGTGTTCCAGCCATTTCGGATCCATCTGAGTCCTGATCATCCTTGACGGACGAACACCGTCATGAGTTCGTGCGTGTGAGTACCAGCTTGAAACTTCATCGTGCTTGTTCCGGCGCATGTAGGATTTGGAGCTGATGATCTCTTGTACTGTGAGACTCGAGATGCACGTGTCCGTGTCGGTCTCATCACAATGCATTCTGTAAGTGTCGGTCACGGGTGGGCGATGTGACAAGTGTCAGCGGGTGCTTACATCTATCGTGAACATCACCAAGATTCCGCACGATATGGCATACCTAGATCTTGCAACACTCCCTCATCAAGTTGAGTCTCGACAGGTTAGTTCTCAGGTCCTTGCTCTGCTGTGAGCTGAACAGTGAACACACTCCCGTCACAAAGCCTTGTCCAATGTTACCCCAACCTTTCTCATTCGCCTGCCTGATGAGGTTCCATCGCCACGCTTCCCGGCTTCATTCAGCTCCCCTGTCAGGAACCTTCGCAAACGAGGCCGGTTGCAGTAACTCGTATGTACTCTCCCATTTTCACACCACCTTTGTGTGGAAGAGGGGTCCCCATTCGCATCACGCCGACATCAGAGACAGATACAGGTTACATACGGACATGCGATCACTCACACCTTTCCCCGGATTCCCAAACTGAAACAGCGGCATCCTCCAGGGAGGAGGGCACTTGGCCACAATTTGCCAGAGATAGGGCACAATACGAATCGCTTTATTACCTGGATGGCCTGCATCAGGAGTGGACTGGCTGTCAGGGCCACCGCATATGGTAGTCGGTCACCTTTGGCGACGGCTCCGGGCTGACTGCAGTCAGGTCAGGTCCCAGGCCCAATAGGACCACCGAGCAACATTCGGGTTGGCTGTTGGAGACCCGAACAACCTCAGGCAAGGACTTCTTTTTCGATGTCCGTAATGAGCTGACGTTGTACACGTTGTCTTTCGTTGGAACGGGCTTCCGGCATAAGGCGCTGTGCGACAAAGCGTGCCATGATGGTCAAATCATCTCCTGACGTGCCCGCCCAACTGCGATGCCGCCTCGTATGCCACGCAATACGATATGCAGGAAGTAAGATCAGTGATCTGGCTATCTAATACCTATCGTCAATGGTCATCAAATAGCCTGCCTATCTGTCAATCGGGATTCGGAGTATTATTATTTCTCATTGCAGAATGTCTGGGCCGGCTGACCCGGGGGACCAGATCGGGTGGGTTCTCCCCAAGGCCTCGGTCCCTTTCTGGGAGCAGTCAGTCACTCCAGTCATTCCGTCCGAAAGACACGGACGGGGCTGGAGGCATGTTGCGCGACCTCTCCAGTGCAGCACCGAGACCCGAGTGAGTGAGCGAGCTCGCTCACCAGTCTTTGATTACTGTATCGAGCTGTACGATAGGCTGTTGCTGCTGACGGCTGAATAAGCTGAACACCGTCGCTGCCGAAATGCTTCTCACTGTGAGGTAATCTGTCTTGTAAGCGGGACATTAGGCGAACGTCGAAAGGCCTCATTGAACTCAGCCGCCGGAGCCGACCTGTACGGGTGACCACTGATCAGTCTAGTTGACTCGGCAGACCAAGCTAGCAGTGACGATGCCACGATGGTTCATGAGGACAAAGACTTGTTATTGTTGGGCCGTGTTACGGTTTACCGGCGACCTCCCTCTCTCCCGGGAATGCCAAGTGGTTGATGGGTGGGAACTAGCGGTCGCGGGTACGTACTAGGTAGTACATACTGAGTCTCGGCATGGATTGAGAGAGGACAGGGTCCAGGGATGATGATATCTTGGAACGGAAAGTACATCGTTTCAAACTCTAGATAGGCGACGGTGCTGCGTTGTCAGTCTTCCAATGTTGGTTGGCCGCGCTGTTGTCGCTTTCATTCTTCCGAAGCCCTGCCATCAAATGCCACGCAGATCATGCCAACACCTCAGTTATCGTTGATTGTTTAAAGCCAAGACCCACGACAAGCCCGCGCCCACTCCGTCCGTCCAGTCTCCACAATATCGACACCGAGATGCCGTCTAAAACTGACTGGTGACCCCTGAACGTGACCCTTTCCCCCTTTGCCCTTACCGCTACCGCAACCGCAACCGCAACCGCAAACCGCAAACCGCAACGCCAAGCTGGCAGCCGCTCAGCCCGCTCAGCCCGCTCTGGTCTGGTGTCGGTCTCCATTGCGCATTTGAACGCAACGAGCCCCGGTTTGCCTTTGCCGCTAATCGCCGTGCGTTGTGTAATCAGCCGATCACGCTTCTTCCCTACCTTACCTACCGTAATCACCATCCCACCTCGCACAAGCACACCATACGACACATTACACGGCGGCGCCGTCTTCTCCTTTTTCGTCCTGCACCGTCCACGAGCTGTTGGCTGCTTCATGTGCCTGGCCTCAGCCTGGGTTGCTATCCGCCTCACGTTCCCGCGTCATAACGCATCGCATCCCTAGCTTGGAAGTTGGCCCTCGACCGCCACCGACCGATCACCGACCGCTTCCGTGGACCGTGGCCGCCCCCGTTGCCGATTGCCAGTTGCCAGTTGCCAGACCCAACCACGCTTGACCAGTCAACCTCGAACATCGTTCAAGATATGGCGCAACAACCGACCGCCCGCCAGCCATGACCTCCCGGCCCCCTTTGGCCGTCTCTCAGCGACAGCCTCAGAGAACCTTAAGCAGCTCGGGGTTGTCGCAGAGACCAGCACCTCAGCGATCCCTCTCCCAGCAATACCTGCCCCCGTCCCCCATACGCCGCTCCGAGAGCTACAACGACCAGGGCCCCGACGCCGGCGACGTCGCACAGAACCGATATGGCACCATACCGAGGCGGGGAGGCTCGAGGCTCAAGCTCGAGCTGGTCAACGATGGCATCGTCCACGCCGGCTTCAGCGAGTCGCCCCAGAACCTGGACCCCATGTCCGCCAACATGGTCTTTACCCCGTCGCGAGTGATGTCTTCGATGAACGAGGCTTCTGAGCTCGGCGACATGAGCCCACATACATCCAGATGCCAGACCGTCGACGGAGACTCCGCCCCTCTCCCTATGCCGCCGCGCCGAGCCCAGTTCGTCGTGCCTGCGAAGCGGCCCCCGACCTCAACCATGAGTGCGCCCGCCAAGAAAGACTTTCGCCCGAAACCCTTCGTCCTCGAGCCTCCCGCCGACGCTCCTCGCTACTCTAATATGGGCAAGCAAGAACCCTCTGGTAAGGCTACGAGCGACGGGAGGAGTACTGCTCCTGCACATTCTAACACGCGCCCAGGCTATGCCGATTTCTATCCGTGGCGAGGTGGACACGCCGAGGACCAATTCTCCGACAGTGTGATCCGGAATGGCTTCTTCAACAAGGCCCCAGCGCAGTCCTCGCAGGAAACAACCACCGCGAGAGGCCCCTTGTTGCCTGCGCTGAAACACAAGAGCGGCCTCCATACATTATCTACAATATTCACCGGAATACTGAATCAGAGAAGACACAGTGGGCAGATCACGTCAGCCTCTACCTTCAAACCGCCGCCACGAGTTACCCTCACCGATACCAAACGAGAGGTGTGGCTCAAAGACCTCGCAAACCCAGCCATCTCCCTTCGACGCCTGAGCCGCACAATTCCTCACGGCATCCGGGGCAGGGTACTACTCGATCAATGTCTCAACAAGAATGTCCCTACCGATCGAGCCGTCTGGCTTGCCAAGTGTGTTGGCGCAAATGAGATCAGGGCATTCAAGAGAAAAGGGGTAAACAACACATTTGTCATAGGCGGAGAAGTGAAATGGATCCGAGACTGGACATTGTGTGTGGAGCAGTTTCTCGAGACCATTGTCAGCGCATTCAGCGAAGATGACTGGAAAGCCAAAGTCACATATGCGTAGGTGTTGCTTCTGGACTCAATAGTATTTACTGCTAACTAGCATTTAGCATTCGCCTTGCTACTCATCTCTATGCCGAGCATCTGCTTGACCGAGATCATTACATGGAGTGGTTAGTATCCGGCTTGGAGAACAGCAACCAAGCCAAGCTTCCAATGTGGCTACTAATTATCCAAATATACTGGAAAGACATTCTCAAACTCAGGAGATACGGACGACGCTTGGCCACCGCCATCGTCAACCACCACTGTTCTGTATGTCATTTCGTCAAGCCGCGTTGTGCACTTGCTAACCTGAAGCCTAGATATACCACCATCCTGATCGCGATATCTTACTCCCCCTATCCACTCAGTTATGTTCATTAGTGGATTCTCTCATCTCCGCATATCCAGAGAGTTTCGTACATCCCTTAAGTTGGACTCGGTTTCGCGACTCACTCCAATCCTCCTTGTCTGCTAGTCAAAGAGCAGCTTTTGGCATTATAGACGCCCGAAATGATCACCTAACGAGCTCGAGCATCAAATCGCAACCTGCTGTTCGGAGCACGCTGGTGGAGTTGCTTGACAACATGCTTCGAATGCCTTTCAAAGACGATATTCCGACAAAGCTACGGAAAACCAGTGACAACAACGTTGTGCTCATCCGGACGGTTCTCGAGTGGTGCACTTCACTTTACAGATTCGGCGCTGCCAAGGTGTACGTTGCAGCGACCATTCTCCGCTCAATCTCGACTTTCGACGTCGACATCACTAGGAGTATCCTGGACTTTCTGGATGCGGTTCCGCTGCAAGAAAATGCGCGGAAACATATCATATATCACCTCGTCTCAGAGCTTGTCCGTTCTGCTCACTTCTCGGTTCCCCAGTATGTGCAGTGGCTCATAGCTAGGGGTGGTCTGGTTGACCCTATCGAAGCCCAACCAGACGGCCCGTGTGCGACAAGGCTATTGGTTGAGGTCCCTATTCAATCGCTCAACGAATCGATGAGAAGTTTGAGGGCTTCTCTGTTACGCAGAGCTGGCTTTTCGGTGGACGATGAGGGAAACGATATTGGAACGGCAATCAAGTGCGTTAAGCACGCACTATCCGTTCCATTAGAGCCAGGCGACCCCCTACTGCAGAAGGCACCCATGAGCGTGAAGAAGTTAGCGAAGCGAATCGGAATCAGCAGTCGTGCCCTCAAGGCCGAAGTCAGTTCCTGGCTTAGTAACGACTTCATCGGCAGTGTGGCCCATAACCTACGATCGGGCAAAGGCGGTGTCGAGCTTTCGAGCAGAACCTTTGAGACTGTCCGAGCCCTTCTGGAGGCTGCGCAAGACTTCACGATGCTCGAAACTACTATGAAGCTCATGATGCAGTCTTCGAATACAGAGATCCTCGCATATTGCGCCGACACTATCAACCTTCACTTGCCGGTGTTTGCTGCGATGGGCTCTGCGAAAACGCTATTCCAAGCTCTCTACACTCGTCTAAGGGCTCTAAGCGAGGAGCAGGGTATCGGTGCGCGCCCTCTCCTTGCTTCTCTGGCCAGTCTTGCACCCCGGCTGCCTGGGCTTGAGCAAATGGCATGTCAACTGCATAATGATTTGATACGAGCAGACCGAAGTAGTGCGGTGGATGTCTCATCGCCCCTGTCCGACAACATGGCTACGCAGCTCCAAGACGCCGAAACCGAATTGAGCGAGCAGATCGAGAAACTTGCCAGCTACACAAGCGCCGACCGGCCAACAATGGAGCGCCTTTTTCAGGCTATTGTGAGCAAGCTGGGAAGTTGTTGGAGCAAAGCCGACGAACGACAGAGACCTTACTGCATCCTATTATCGAGGTTGCGAGTTTTCGATACTCAGCATTTCGACGTGTTGATGAGGGGTTGGGTCCAACATATCCGCAAACTCACGAGGCGGCCACCTATCGCGCAGCTCTTCCCCCTTCTTGTCAGCTCCGGTTGCCTATCTCTCGCAATGTTGTTTGCCACTGCCTACAGGAGCCAGCCGCAGGCTTCACAGTCGCAACCCAATGCAGTTGGCTCCGCTTCAACATACATGCAAGAGATACTGCAAATGTTGATGATCCCATTGGTACCGAATCAGGTCACGACTTCAGAGGACTGTTACCGATTTCGTATCACTCAGGAGCAAGCACGCTTAGAGCATGCTAAAGAGGTCATGCCTCTCATACGCGGGGCTCTGGGGGAGTACGCGGCGTCTCGAAGCCAACAGCCGCCTAGGCCTCAGCCACTCGATGAAGAGAAGGTCAAGTCTCAGCTGCTCGAATTGCTAAGGGACCTGGTCCTCGTCGACCCGAATGCCGCATGCCAGACGTTGTCCCTCAAGAGCCCTGATGCCAAATTAGCCGCTTTGATCGAAGCATTGACGACGAAATTGTTAGTTCCTCATGGTGGAGGTGTCCAAAAGTCTTTCGAACAGGTGCTGGAGCTGGCAAACGAGTTCACGTTGCCATTCTGCCAAGTCAAGCTTTCCCTCATTCTTGCAATCCATGACTCGGGAAGTCCAGAGGGGGCTGAGAGGCTTCATCTACAATTTGAGCAATTGTCCAAGGCAATGGACAACGCCATCGAGGCGAACAATATCATGTGGACAGGTATGCTCTCCTGCGTGAGCCCTGACATCACGCAGCACTTGAAGAACCGAGCAGAGTCACGTTTCTTTGACCTGCTTCCATCTCTGAAGAGTGTACCGGCTCCAGGAACAGACCCCAATAACGATATCCATATGGCGGAGAACCTGCTTACAGTCATTGACGCTGTACTCCGCGGGGGGGCCACATCGAGAGCATCGCCGCTCTCTAACGCGATGGTGGACAAATTAGCTGATTTATGGGAGATACTCGGGACAACGGGCGACGAACACGCAGTGCTTCGATCCACCGTGCTTTCACACTGGCTACCGTTGCTACTAGCCTATCTCGCTCTTCAGGCTTCACAGGCTGCAAGCCCGGCAGACACGTCACGGCTCCCAGGCAGCGAAATTCGCGCCCGAGCTCTAATCGTGCTCGCTGGTCTTGTCCAGGAACTCGACCGATACCCCTCGTTGAAGCTCGGCGAGCGCATCTATGACATCGCCCTCGTCCTCACCGATCAAATGCCGGAAGACGCACGTCTGCAGTGTGTGCGTGCGGTGAAGGACCACACGTCGGACCCCCGGCTGAAATATCTCTTCAGCTTCACATCGAATCCGACCGAGAACTTTATGCTGGCACACCGGGATAAGCCTCCCCCTGGAATCCAGGAGCGGAGGGCCTTGGCCGCTATGAACATGGGCATGAGTATGCTGCCGGAGAAACTGACGCCGTTCTTGTTCCGGCGCTGGGAAATCCTCAACGAGCCCACACCGAATGTAGGAGAGAACGACACGAGCTTGAGCTTGACGCTGTTCGACGCGCGGAAGATATAACACTTGTCAAATTATTATTGCATGAATGGACGAGAGGGTCCATATGAGCGGGTCATCATCACTAGGTAGCGATCATCTGTTTGATTTATCGAGATCATCCTTTTACGTTTGTAGCGTAGTAGAATATCCCATGGTTGCAGCGGAGCGGAGCATATGGTTTGGTCGGCCTGGAATGGACCTGGTTGGTTGTTTGGGGGTCCGGAAAGGAGTTCAGGGTAACTCACTGATCTGGCTTCTTGATACGATTAGCTGGGTGGGATGGCCTGGAGACTTCATGTCTCCCCCATTTATGGGGTTGTTAGAGCGAGGCTTGTAGATCTGTGTCAATACATCTGCCACGTCTTGCCTGTACTACTTAACTTCTGGACCCTTGCCGGGGACTTACTTCTCCGACGCATGAATGACAGAGTGGTGCTCTGATACGTGAGTGATGCTATAGGTAGGTGTTGACTTTGAAACGACGGGATGATTGCGAGGTTCTTGGGCTGGACGTTTGTGCTGAGCGCTTGTTTTTGGTCTTGGTTTATGTTGATACGGGATAACCGTGCGAGAAGCTTGGATATGTATGATGTGTAGGTGGCGGATTTGGGGTGGAACCTTTGGAGTGAGATGGGTTTGGTTCGCTGGAGGTAGTGTTGTGTTGTTTGTGGTAGATGGGTATATTTCTGATGGTTTGCGGGAATGTGTGCGGGTAGACGATTTGGTGCATGTATTGTAGAGTGTGAAGCCAGGAGATGAGCTGCGGAGAGGGAAGAGCTGTGGGCGACGAGTGACGAGTCACGGGTGAGAGTGGTGAAGGTGGATGAGTGAGGGTGGATGAGTGAGAGTAAAGAGGGGGGAGGAAGAGGAGAGGGGGAAAGAGGAGTGAGAGAAGAGTGGAAATATCTAGATGAGATATTCGATGCTGTCCACGGTGGTTTTTGGGCTGTGCTTGGTTGTGGTATGTGGTCTTGCTCTAGATGGATGGGTGGTAGGTATATGGCATCGTATGGTGTGGGATGTATGATTTGGGTGTGGGCTTGGGTACGTGTGACGATCATGGCAACTTCTGTTCTACAGTGCTGAGAATCAAGAATATAGAAACCGAACCGAAGAACCAAAAGAAAAAAAAGAATGTCAGCCACTAGGGGAATTGAACCGCTGTGCCTAAGAATACCTTTTAAAGAATACCTTGTAAAGAATATTTCGCTAGGGAGTACCAACCCGGCTACCAATTTTACATGATAAATCTAACTATATACCTCGCATGGCTGTAGGCTTGTGCAGAGAGGAACGGGTGGACATGTGGGAAGGGTGAGGGATTGGCTGGTGCATCCGGTGGCTTAACTCAAAACGACAAGAGAAAGGGGAGAGAGAGTACCTTGTTAGGTGAGGAGGGCTAAAAATAAAGTAAAATTTTCAATTGTCTATCTAATCAAGATTCATGTACTCTTTCTTGGATGCTGATTCGGTATGTGTCTCTTATGCATATGGTGGTAGGCTAGTTGGTTATGATAGATAGGTGTCGTGTCCCAGGCGCAGCATTTTGCCTACTGACGTGTCACCTAGGGATGAGATAGATTAAGTTCGATGCATGTACATCCTGCGGTTGAGCTAGTTACCCGGCACTTATAAATGAGCTAAACAAGCCCTGAAACCATATTGATTGATTGATTGATTGCAGTCTTTAACGTCTGAACTCGCTTAGCGAGTGGCCACAGGGGACATATCGTTGGCCCCTTCTATCGACGTTCGGTGTCGGGACTCTCTCGTATAGTGGTTTAGGGCCGTCGACGTCAGGTCGTCCGTCGCTCGAGCTCGAACGACACGCGTCGTGATCCTCGTCGTCAGGTCCTGCGACGACGAGCGGCAACGGCTCTCTCCCCGAAGTTCAAGAGCCGGCGCGACGGCGACGACGTCGTCACCGTCACTAAGCTATTATCGACTATCTCTAAACCGGACCTCCCTTGTTCTCCTTCTACAATCGAAAACAGCTGCTGTTAGTGCAGAAACGGTTTTCCCACACAAATTATGTGCGTCATTATCTAAAACACCAACAGCAGGTGCCAAAACTCATAGTTGTAAGAAGGAAGGTGCCTTTTTTAACCACATGGTCAGCCGAGTGAGTTAGGTTTGACTGCGAAAGTTCAAACCGTAATCGTCTCCGAAATTTCGTTCTTCGCTTATAAAAGTCAGGAACCTCTCGTCTCATTCTGATCTTCTCCATCTCAGCATCCATAACCTCTCCGAATCCCTCTCCCCTGTCCGACCAGGAATTTCTTCAACCACTCGATTACCAGCAAAGTAATCACTCTCCTCTCTTTCACCGGATCCCTGAAAGCTCTGTGACAATGGGCTTCGTCACACTCACCACTGCCATCGCCATGGCCGCCACCCTTGTATCATCCCTAGGACACCAACCGTGCTACTGCCTTTACGACAGGTTCGCCTGCTGTTCGATTACAGGGGTTCCCCCCAACAGATGCAGGATCGTCAGCTGTTGTAATTGGGACGAAGACCAATGTACGGTGCCACTCCACTTGAACGGTACCACTTTCAACCTTACCGACTTCGAGTCTGGCGCCGTCGAGTTCCCTGCCGTTTACGTGTCTATGCCCGTTGTCGTCTCTGCTACCACTTCTCAGTCCACCGCGGAGGCTGCTTCAGCTCCGATGATGAGCTCTACGCCTATTCCCACCATCGCATCATCACCTAGTGCGCCATCGCACATGTGCTCTACGTCTACTCACACCATCCCATCGTCTCCCAGTGCGCCATCGCCCTCATTCGCCTACCTCGGCCGCCCAACCCCGACGCCGTCCACCCCGGCCGTTTCCTCGCAGCTCTTCAGAAGGGAAGTCTGCAAGTGCTCGGGCAAAAAGATGGCATGCTGCGAGGGCACGCGCTGCCACTACCGAGACGACCCCGTTTGCCAGAAGCGGGAGGAGGGATGCAAGTGTGTGCCCAACGGCATGATGAGATGCTGCAGGACGCCGGCCGACGGGCTGGAGCATTGTAATTTCAAGGAGAACAAGGACTGCCATCGGCGGGCTGCCGATCAAAGTTTGGATGCGGTAGAGGTCGATGAGGTCGATGGCTCCGAGGTCGTCAGCAACTAAGCTTAGGCTCGTCTTCCCAACAACTGGGACCTCTCATATATGGTTGGGATGAAATCGACTGCCTCTGCTTCGCCCTGAGCTGCTCTTGCCACTCCGGCCGAGACTGGGGGAGCAAGGTTATACGCGTACTTCCTGGTCTCGGAGAATCCGCTCGTCAGGGGTCCATAGAGGACCGCACCAACCGATATACATATAGATAAATCAATAAGAATGTTCACATTCCAGTCGGCACCCTTGGTGAAGACATGTTAGGTGCTTTGAACACCGTGTGCACCGTCTCGTATGGAAACGCCTGAAAATCATGCGGAGCTCCTCCTCTGCGCCTATCCCCAGTTTCAGCGCTTGGTCTACCTGTCAGTATTTGCGACGAAGGAAACATGCGCCAGGAAGGAAGGGTAGGGTTGGCTGGCGATTTGCGATCGTGTTGGATTGATTGATTGATTGTATTTATCGTGGATGCAGTCCGGGCCATTGCATCGCAAGGCTGTAGAGGTGTCAGACTAGATACATTCAGATCCGCGCATGAGCCTATCCTCGCTGTAGCGGTACCAACCTGGGGTGACCAGATGGTTTTAGTCAATACCCAAGCACGATTCCGTCAGAAAAATCTCCTGTCCAGTGACAAAGCGACCCAGTGAACCTCAGTCCTCTGGTGTACACATTGTTCCAGTAACCGTTCGATATATGTCGCATTGGTGGGTGAAATAGGTATTTGTTATCTGCTGGCGAGGGAAACCACAAAGGGAAAAACCTCACAGGAATGGGTATTGTGGAGACAAGTTATTTGGCTATCGGGCTCTGCGATAAGGGGCCTCTCCACTATCGTGTACTGGTTATCGACTCGCACAAGCCGGGTCAGAAGGGGGCCATAGCAAGATTCGAACCCACTTGTTCTCGTCGCCCACCGCACAAACGAGAACACAACCAGGCGCATTTGACCATTGCGCCATACGGCCTGCGATCGTGTTGGACGTCACATCATGTCCCAGTAGTGACTATCCTAGCCACTGTTGGGACGCAGTCTCCCCTGGCTGACCCATAACGGAATGACATAGATTTCTCACAGAAGCTGTATTCATTATTACCTGCTGGTCCTTCGAAGTCGTTTGCAAAATTGATGATGCTGTCTGACAGCGAAGACGCGGTAAGCACGTTACGTTGCAGAAAGACCAGAATGGTTAGACCATCGTAGACTCTTGAGCTTCGGGTTGAGTCTCCCTCATCTCCTGAGGTCTCAGCGCGCGCGTGCGTTTAAGGGGCGTACCGCGACTCCGAAGATCATCCCAGACGGCCGGCCTGACTGTCGGGGCACTTGCAGGTGAATAAACGGAGAGGCGCTCACTTGCAGGGACGGCGTAGAATGATTGACATAAGCTATGGGGAAACAGTGCGCATGCAGCCAATAGTAGCTGTGGCTGGTTGGAGGTGCGGCTAATTATGTGTGTGGCTTGTTTCGGCTTAGTAATTATTTGGACGACATCGTGCAACTTCGAGCCAGAACAGGCGCAACAAGCCATCAGCAGCGAACGTATGCCCAAGGCAGCATCTCAGGGCGGGGACACGCAGACTCTTGCTCGCCAATGTCGACACTGTACTTGTATAATCACGCCAAGAAGCTGGGTGGCCAAGTTGGGGTGTTACAGGTCCGACGGAATTAACTAGGGCTTTCATGGGCTTCTGGTACTGAACGAGTGATTCCAAAAGAATGCGCTTGCTATGTATGGGGGTCTTGCCGAGATACACCGTGAGAGGCCGCAAAAAGAACGAGCGCGGTTCCCACGGTGCGACTTGGAAGAACGACAAGTTGAAACACGCCAGTCAGTTGCGGATATTGGAACTATGGCAGAGGATCATGGAATCTAAAAGCCTCCGGGTATGGCTTCATGTTCGCAGCGCAGCAGATCCAGAGGTGGTATCGATGTTGGAATTGATTTAGGCTCTGCCGCAACCTTGAGCAAATTAACGATCTTTTTGGTGGCTAATGGCTGAACTCTGTTCATCTTCTCCCTCGACCTCAAAGTCAATACCTCTGTGGACGAGACACTGCTATCGTGTTCGTGGGCCCGCTTAGCGGTATCGATGAAGGTACTGTTGCTGCGAAACAGCCAGGTATCACTACTTGGGTCTGGATTACCAGTTGCGCGTATTGCTGATCCTGGTGCATGCGCAAACAGTGGCCCTTCAATCCAAGGTGCAGGGGAAAATATGTGGTATATTGTCTGCTAAATGTTGCGAGGGAAAGGATCTGGGGTGATGCTAGGAAGAAACTGTGAGAGGATGCATGTGCACCACGCGTGCTGCGAAAGGAGAGGTAGGTAGGTCAACAAAAGGTCGGTGCACGTAGACCATTTCTGAAGACGATCATGTGCTGCGCGTTTGGCAGAGACGAGAAATAATAAGAGGAGCAGACGCAGTTGGCGCAGTGGCGGCAGCAGACCAGGCATGGGACAAGGCGTTGGTGGCGGCAGCCTGCCCAATCAGGGAACCAAGGGGATGGCTGGTATATAAGTCCTAAAGTGAGCAAAAACCAGCAACAAGACGTTCCCCTCCCTAGGTGCGGTGAAGTAGTCGCCAGGACAAGCCACCGAGTGACTAGGCTAGATGACCTAGCGGTAGGTTTTCCGGCAGTACAAGGTAACTGAGCTTAGGTGTTAAGACTGACTATGCTTACTGTTCTTTTTGTAGTTTTGTTCTCTCGGGGTCTAGGGTTCAAATGACAGCTGTGCAATCTTTTATTATTATTTTTGGGGGATAATCTCCATCACCCCGGAAAGATGTTTCCCTCTTCCCTCCCCATTAAATCCATTCTTGGCATCCTTCTGGCCTTAATTCACCCACCAGGCACGGCAATCCCTCATGATACTCTCCTTCTGCATGCCCTCGCGGATGCCCTGCATCCCATGCCACCTGATGGCTCTCTTCCGAAAAACGTCACATGCTCGCCGTGTGCAACGCAACGCGAATTGTACCTCATTGATGTGCACGTAATTCAGCACGAAATAACATCTCTAATCCTTCGACGGCTTCATGATTGTAGAAGTACATCATGCCGCTTCTGTTCAGACCGTCGACGGTCGATGCACGCGATCATCCATACAAGCAGGACCATGCAGCCGCCCAGTTCCTGCCCATGAAGAAGGAGGAAAGATGCACGGAGAAGGAACGTTCACTCTTGACTCGGTGGATCTGCAGGATGGATTGGGACTTGGTCCCTGGATGCAGCAACCGCACTGGTCCATTGTAGTCAAAACCGACCTTCTACTGGCCCATGTCAGCCATTGCAAGCCTAGGCTGCCCGGCTCCCACGTGCTGAGGCCCGGGACGAGGCCTTGTGTCGTGACTTGCTGCGACTTCTTGATAGATGTCAGGAAAAGCGGAGAAAATCGCGTCTGCTGGATGGACTTTGGCTTCACCTTGGAGACGAACTTCTCCCAAATATACCCTGGCCATTTCTGTTACCTTCTCGTGAACCTTCTTCCCTTATTCCCTCCACGGCCTCACGCGTTGATTATTCGTCCGGTGGTTGGCTTGGAGGAGCGTGTCAATAGCCAAAATCAGCCTTTCTCTAAGTCAGCACCTTATCCCGGCCTCCATTGCGTAGGCCGGGATAACATTCAAGGTAACTTAAGCCTCATCACAGTACCGTCGTCGACTTGCTATGGCCAGGGTAACATCCATCCAATTGGGGTCTGGCGGGCGTGAAGTTATTAAGTAGTCAAATGGTGCGTCGAAGCTGGAATATCACCGGGGTATTTATGATCAAATGTCGATCACTGGTTCGTTCCTTATACCGTCCTGGTCTCTTCTTTCTCCCGCTCCTCGACGCCATGTCTCAGTCGAGTCAGGCCCGACCAGCCGCAGTCATGCGCCGCGCTTAACCGGATTTCCTCAGCTTCTATATAGCTATGGCGACCTGTTCATTTTCAGGAGCTTTTAAATTTACCCTGCATCCGGGTCATAGGGTGTCCCAATTGCGCTGCCCCTGTCGATATTGGGTGTACACTGTACTTCGGGGCGGAAACCCCCTGCCGATGACGCGAAACCCATGCAAGGGCATCCGTTATAACGCTATATCCGCTTTAAGCATATCCACCAAGATACTGTTCCGTCCCTTGGCAGCCGCCAGTCACGCGTTGTCAACATTTCTTGAGACGCGTCTAAAAACACACGGCTTGGTACCTCCTCTACAATGCCCCCAAAGAAGTCTAACAATGACCAGCCGGCCAGGGCTCCCAGACCATCGCGCGGTAAGCTCCACGGCCGAACTCTTCATAAATGCATGACCGATTTTGCAAGCAGAGAATTGCATCTCCAGGTGTTCGCGCAATGCTAACGCGACCGCGTCACTAGATGGCTCAAGATCAGTGGCTCCGGTTGTTAACGGCTCCAGCGCGACAGCTTCGTCGAAGAAGCGGAAGTCCAGAGTCGGCGATGCCACAGAAAGCGCACTGGAAGCACGCGTAGCCAAGCTAGCCAAACGCGAACCCGACCAGGGCAAGAAACAGCATGAAGCCAAGGTTGCCCCAGCGAAGAAAGGCAGACCGGCACGGGCCGAAGCTACTCGTCCTGCTCCACTGCCGGCCATCAACAAGGTGCCCACAGAGAGGCTCCAGATCATGGCTTTTGGAAGCGGCGAGTGCGGCGAGCTCGGCCTTGGGCCGAAGCTCCAAGAGAAACCCCGTCCTTTCGCCAATCCATTCCTGGATGGAAACGCGCCTGGAGCCTTTCATATCACCCAGCTCGACCTCGGTGGCATGCACACAATCGCCTTGACAGACGATAACAAGATCGTCACCTGGGGCGTCAATGACCGAGGTCCCCTCGGAAGGGACACCACATGGGATGGAGGACTGCGCGATGTTGATGCAGAGTCCGACGATGACGACGAGCAACTCAATCCGGTCGAGTCTACACCAACGCAAGTCCCAGCCGGCTCTTTTCCTCCCGGGACTGTGTTTGTACAAGTTGCAGCCGGCGATAGTTGTAGCTTTGCCCTCACCGACACTGGCCTCGTTTGTGGATGGGGTACTTTCTTGGTAAGCAACACATGAGTTTACAGCTTCGCCTTTCTGACCAACCATACCAGGATGCTGAAGCCAAGCCTCGCTTCTTCTTCACAGGTGATAAGCTTGTCGAACAGTTGGACCGGCCATCTCTGATTCCCGGCCTTCAGAACATCGTTCAAGGTGGCATGCGGGTCCAACCACGCGCTGGCGCTCGACCAGGCTGGCGATGTGTGGGCCTGGGGGGTCAATCAGAAGAATCAACTCGGATACCGCCTCTTTGAAAGCCGCCAATATGACCAGCGCTTGCTAGAGGGCTTCCAGCCTCAACGTGTCAATCTGCGTCACAATAAAGCCAGCTATATTGCGTCCGGCGTCGACCACTCTTTTGCAATCGACCGGAAGGTCGCTGTCTGGGCTTGGGGTTTAAATCGGTATGGGCAAGCTGGCTATGCAAAGGACGCCGGTAGTGACAATGTTTGCCTACCGTATCCAATGAAGATTCCCGATCTTGCTAAGGTGGGTGTTACTGCCTTGAGTGGGGGTGCTGACCATTCTGCCGCGGTCACTGCTGAGGGCCAGTGCCTCGTCTGGGGTCGCATTGACGGGGGACAGCTCGGGGTCGAGTTGACCGCCGAACAGCTTGAAGACGAGACGCTTACCCGCCTGGACGATCGTGGGCGTCCGCGTATTTGCCTGCGCCCCATTCCGGTTACGAACATCGGGATGGCTGTTCATGTGAGCTGCGCTACGGGCCACACCATCTTTGTCAACACCAGAGGCGAGGCGTTTGGGTCGGGGTTTGGATCGATGGGCCAGCTTGGTATCGCCTCTGAAGACGATACCAACGTCGCAGTGAGAATCACTGGCGGTGCGGCGAAAAACAAGCAATTGATATGGTGCGGGACTGGGGGCCAGATCAGCATGGTTGCTGCACGCGCCGACTCGGCATCATGATCATCAGGCTTATCCTTCAAACTTAGCTTAGACTGAAGGGACGCTTTGGGCCCTCCAGCTGCGAGCGAACCAGCCTCAACACAACCTTGGAAGGCCCCGGCGTCAATTTCCAGGGAGCCAATGAGACGGCTTGGGGTAGGCATCGAGCACCCCCGCATGTGCCCCTTTTCACATCAAGCGAGATATGCTCCTGCACGTCCCTGTTTTTGAAGACCTTGCTGGGCCAAGCCTCCGCCCCCTGGATCATCCACCCGACTCGGATCTGGAGCTCTGCAACCAACAATGATACCCATGTCGCCAGCGGCCGGTAGCGAACAATGGTAAGATGCAGCTGCTTGCCAACATGTTTAAGCGGTGTAGGTTGCAGGTGGTTCCGGCTTATTGATTTGGATTAGGACTTGGGGCGGGCCGATTCTTTTAGGCCAAGCTGTCGGTATGCGGTCGAGCTTCGACACAATAGGCGGGAATGAGACTCAGCCATTTCCCGAAGGCTGAAGTCTGGAACCAACAGCACCTTGCCACTCGTAGCTCGCTTGCGGATGCGGACCGAGAAGCGGCCAGGCACGGGCAGCGGGGGTTGCAATGAGATGTTGGTGCAATGGTGCATACTGTAGCCTCGAGCCTTGTGTTGCCGCATGCTGGGGGTCATATTCGGATGCGCTTCCACCCGTGGCGACTGAGGCAGGTCCGCTTGCATATCCCGGCAGTGAACTTTTTACGGCGGGCTGCTACTAGGCGAAGTTCCCGGGGTCGCTACTCCTGGTGCCCTCGTACTCTGCGATGAACAGAACGGGGTTGTGGTCGACGTTCAAAACCTGGTTTGATTGTTGTTAGATGTCGGTCTAGAGCTTTGAGGCTTTGAAGCAGTAGACGACATGGTGCTGAATAATGGAGGAGCTCTCCTTGCTACGACGGTGTCGAGCTTACGGCGTCTATTAACTCTATGTTCCAGTGGTACCATAATGTGGCTACCTAGATTTACGTATTACTTGTCATCGGGATCTTTCAATAGAACTCCACTGGTTAACTCGTTATAAGGTAACCATCGGCTAGCTAGATCATAATCGGATGCGCCTGAAAATGTTGCTGAGAAGCGTCACTTCAAAGGTCCCTCTTCTGATAGGTTAATCACTTAAACCTCGCCGTATCCGACAAAATGGCGGCCTTCGAGCTCACGAATCCGGTTATGTTACATACACCATACGCAGATTGGCTATCTCGGTCAGTGATGGTCGCGCCTTCATAATGAGACAGAACAAGACTTACCATCCTAATGTGTCCAGACAAGTGTGCTGGGTAGATCCACAGTATCCTGCCGCAGAGCAACAGTCCCCGAAGGTCGAGCCGTTACAGACAAGCCCACCAGAGTATCCACAGGTCCCGTCCAGGGATATAGATCCTGGCGTCTGCGTAGGCTTGGCCGTCGTTGTTGGTGTGGATGTCGTCGTCGTGGACGAGCCGCATGGCCCGCTCTGGCATCCAGTACCGCAATAATCGGTGCCGTTGCCACAATAACTGTCTTTGCTGCAGCACAAGCCGAACTTGGGTGGACATTCGTAGTGTAGATTCTGGGTGCCGCAAAGTCCGTCGGTACTGTAGGGGATCGGCGCACCGTCACAACTGCCTTCTTGACAGTTACCGGGACCACAGTAGTCTGTTCCATCGCCGCAACTGTACGACGGAAACAAGTGATGATCGTTAGAACAGAATCCCAACGGAGTTCGGCACGCAGCCATCAAGACGTACTATCCGCCAACTCCGCAGCAATCACCCCACTGGCTCCCGATACATGTGCTGGTCCAGTTCTGCTGGGTACCGCACATTGCGTTCGTAGAGGTAGGCACAGCCTTCCCAGATACTAGATCCTGATGTTAGTCGACCCATTGGCTTTGATAGCACTCGGAAACTGACCCATCGAAACGCAGTACGTCGTGCCAGGCTCGAAGTCGGCGCAGCTGGGACCGATACTGGGGTTGGCTATTCGGAAATAGTCGAGCGTGATGTTAAACTCGGAGAGAAAGCCGGCACAGGTGGTCCAGATGTCCGTCGGCATGCTAAAGCGGCATGTTGCGTTGTTGTCTGCCTGCCGCCGGAGTAGCTCAGCGTGCTTCCGCAACAGTCCTTGCGATTCCACAATGCCGAACCCGTAGCTCTCGAGGATGGAGGCTGAGGCAACGCTCGCAAGAAGCAGGTGAGGGGAAAGAGAGGCCCGCATGGTGAGACAAGTGTGTCACGGCCAACGAGTACTGAAAGTAGGTTGGATAGAAGAGAGGGCGTGTTGGGAGCTCGTAGATGAGATGTGCAGGCGCTCGGTGACTGCCTTCTCTTGTTGATCTGACCCCTTTTCATCTGCCGTGGGAGCCGAAGCCTGCTTCCGATAGTACAGAGCGAATGGTGTAGCACGCAGGTAATATGGCTCAGGATATCTCTTACATGGGTAACCGTGATTTGATTTTAAGATTGCATATGTGCACTTCTGCGTGATCACGGGCTCACACATTGGATGTTGGTCGAATGCTGCATACATATGTGGTATTGGGGGTCGGGCCGGGGCCGGGTAGGGGACCGACCGGGCCATGATTCTGGATTCCCCTCACCTGCGGACACGCTCAGCTGCCTCAAAACGTCCGTGTGTTCCGCGTGGGCAACCAACAAGGCGGCCTAGTAAGCATCCAGAACACGCCTTAATCACCGGTGAGGCTCCTACGCGGCACAGTGCCCTTCCAACTGAAGCGATGTGCAAGCCTCGTCCACGAGATGGTTTCGGTGAGTGGGTCAGGGTATTGCAGTCTGGACATGCCTGTGTAGAGTAATGCGTTCTCGCTTGTCTTAATAAAGCTCATTCTCCTTTGGTATATCTCCATGGCATAGGACTGCTGTTCTAACCGCGTCTTCTCCTGTCGTTCAACTTCTCGTCTGGTCTTGATACGTCAGAAAGTCTCAGTGATGTGGTTTTACTACCACGGCGTACAGACCATGTCTGCTTCGTTACTGCTCCTTTCCCTACTCCTGTTCAGCGACAGTGCTTTGTCCCAACCGCCCTCGACACAGCCACTTCTGGTCTACAACTGTGCGAAAATGCCCTCAATATGCCGCAATGTCGACCAGAGAAACACGCTCCAGGTTGTACCGGGAGTTCCTGCTGCCGGTAGGCTTGGCCTATTGGACCCGGGTAAGAACGGCGGTAACGACTACATCACTTTGACCTACGACACCAGCGCCGGAATGCTGCCTGCAAATCCAGCTGGAAAAAAACAAATCCTTGCCCGCAAATAGACCAGCCCAAAACTGTTGCTTCTGGCCAGTCTTGGACTTATCTCAGCTACGTTGGGGTGCGGTGGAACCCCAATAATCTGGTCCTCGGACAAGCTGGTTATAACGTGATTGCGAACAAAGCGCAAACCGGACCCAGTGGCATGATTTGGACATGTGATGAGTGACCCCCTGCCATGTAAGTATCGATCCTCACCATGGTAATAGGCTCGCCTGCATTCATAATTGATCTCGCTTTTTACAGTACCATAGAAGGCGGCACAGGTGCTAAGACCTATTGCGCGCCGCAAAACGGTCGATGTGGCGGTAGACAGTTTGGGGGTACCTACTCCGAACAAGTCCGTGAACCCCATTCCCCCCCCTTTTCCCCGAATTGAAGTCCTGAACAGTCTATCAAACTTTAGGATATCCAAGGCAACGTCTACAGCATCCTGCGCAGATACATCACAAACACGAACCTTGGCACGCCACCTGCAGGGACATACCCTTTCTCCTTCCAGACGTTATGGGATGATGACCCCAACGCTGTCAGCGCTGCTGTCGTGTGGACGCAAGGTCAAGTGGACTCCATCTATCGACGGTCACTCGAGCAAGGCTCCAGATTCATGAGCGTAGTCTACGACAATGGCTCCATCGCGACCTTTGAACGTGCTTTGACGGAAGAAGAGGTTAGAGATGCTCATTAGTCTGCTTTCGTTGGTCCGTGCTAATAGACCTCTCAACCAGATCGACTCGCATATCGAAGACTACAATCGCTTGCAGCGTCGTGATATAACTGCGACGAACAAACCTGCCCCTGTCCATCAGAGGTTTGAAGCTCTCGCTAAAGCACCTCCGCTGCCGATCATCGAGATTGTGCGCAACTATGTGGATCGCTTGGCAGACCTACCCGTCACGTCCTACATCAACATGGTCGTCGGCATCTTCAATACCACGCTATTTGACACTCTTACCACAGCGGCTCCTCCATCGACTACAGCAAACCCTGGCTCTGCAACTGCCAGCAACGGGAATGCATCACTAAGCACTCCAGATGCCTCAAAAACACCTCGTCACAATATCTTCCGCCGCCAAGAAGATGTTGGCGAGTGTGGTCCCAGCAGTCCTTGCTCTGACGGATCCTGCTGCAACACGGAAGGCCACTGCGGCTACAGAGCGGAGAATTGTGGCAAGGGTAATTGCACGAGCAACTGTAAGTCTAGTCTCGAGACCTTCGAAGTAGAGAAGAGAGGGACGAGACTGATTCGAGAACACAGGTGATGCCACAGCTGCTTGTGGGAGAGACAGTCTTGACGGTAAAGTGTCATGCCCTCTTAACGTGTGCTGCAGTTACTATGGATTTTGCGGAGTAAGTTTGAGCTTCCACCCAGAGTCCTTCCCCAAACATTTGGTACTCATGAGAAAGCTGCTCTTCTACAACACTCAAACCGCTGTTCTGACCTGTCGACACAGGTTGGGACCGACTTCTGCGACTCCCCACACCCTGACCAACCGTGTCAGGAAGGGTTTGGCTCTTGTTCTGATGTAGCGGCACCTTCATGCAGCGGCAACTCAGCATCAGGGAGATCTATTGGATACTACCAGGTATCCAACAACTATGCACGCGAATGTCAGCGTATCAGCCCCTCGCAGATCGCTATTACTGGCCTGCCCCATTTGAATCTGGCATTCGTTAGCATCGATCCCTCGACATTCGAAGTAGCGCCCGTAGATTCTCGTGATGTACCCTACTACACCGAGTTTACGGCACTTCAGTCATCCAGCCTGCAGACATGGCTTTCCATTGGCGGATGGGACTTCAATGACCCTGGCACGACTCAAAGTACCTTCAGTACACTTGCCAGTACGGCCAGCAATCGTGCTGCTTTCATCTCCTCACTGGAAAGCTTCATGGCCAACTACAAGTTCCAAGGCGTTGACATTGACTGGGAGTATCCGGGTGCGCCTGATCGAAGTGGCGATCCGAGCGATACCGAGAATCTGGTCAGTCTTGTGAAAGAGATGCGTGCGGCCTTCGGGTCCACGTACGGGATCAGCGCCACCATTCCAGCAAGTTATTGGTATCTCAAGTGGTTTGATCCTGTGGCCATGGAGCCATACGTGGATTTCCTAGGGATTCTCTCCTACGATCTTCATGGGCCCTGGGACAAGACAATCAAGGATGTAGGACCGGTCATCATCGGCCAAACCAACATCCCCGAGCTCGCCAACTGGACGTTGCCCTTGTGGTACGACCAAGTTGATCCCTCCAAGGTCAACATGGGCCTCGCCTATTATGGAAGGGGATATACCGTCGAAGACATCAACTGTGTGGATGTAGGCTGCCAGTGGAGTGGCCCTGGCCGTCCCGGTCCTTGCACGGCGTTCAGCGGGGTCATGTCTCTTACAGAGATCGAGAAGTTAATTCCTCAGCTTGGAGTTGAGCCCACACTGGACTCGGAAGCCATATGAAGTATCTCGTCTGGGGCGACCAATGGGTTGGATATGATGACTTCGAGACCATCGCCATGAAGAAGGCTTGGGCCAGCAGCAAGTGCTTCGGAGGTACTATGATCTGGAGTGTTGACTTGTACTCTGGATCGGGCTCAGGAGACACCCCTGACGGTAACAGTTCTTGCAGTTCCGACCCGGGCGGCAGCGGAGGCCAGAGCGGCTCCTCCGAGAGTGGCTGCGGCGGGCTTGTCTACATAGACCCGTCTATCTGGCATGACGATAACCCGGTCATCCAATGCGAGCCTCCATGCACCTTCATTCTGCCCCCCTTGACGCTTTCAACCACAACGACTATCACGTTCCCGCCATACGTCACGTCTCTCGACGTAGCTTGGTCAATCTCGACGGGATGGACGCGCAAGGTCGAGACAACGACACTCACAATCCCACCGATTACAACTACCTTGATACCAGCTTGGTCGTACACCGTCACGTCTCCCGTCACAGGAACTCCGGACCCCTCGGAGATCTCCACCTTCTATCCGACAAGCAGTATACTGCCCCCGCAGTTCATAATCACTGACGATCCCGATCCCGAGAGCAAGCCTGGCGTCACTCATCCACCCGTCACCAGGACCATCACCCCACCTCCCTACCCATACTCCTTCACCAAGCCCGACCCCTCGGACCCCACGCCGCATTTCCCAGTCGTCACTTACAAGCCCGGACCATCGGGCCCGCTCTGCAAGTCTGGCTGCGGCAGCCCTTGTATCATCTTCTGCGATTATCCATGTCTGCTCGACTGCCCAGACCCCGGCAACTATTTCCCTGACCCTGTAGACCCGGACCCTCCCCCCAAGCCTACTCCCGAGGACGAGAGCGACCCCATTCCTAGCGGGACCGTGGACCCGGACCCGCAGCCCGAGGACCCGGAGGATGACGATCCAGAGGACCCCGAGGAAGAAGACGAGGACGACTTGTGCGCTTACGAGTTCAACCTACCAGCGCCCGTGTACGTCGACCCAAACGCGGGCGCCGGGCCCTCGGAAACGATCTCGCCCCCGGCGCCGACGCCAACGCCCCACCCGGCGCCCGACCCGACACCACCCAGCCCGGACCCGGCGACGGAAAGCCTGCACTGCTACAACGGCGGGTCGGAGACGGACCGCGGCGACATGATCAACGCGGTCGGGGACTTCTGCGACTACTACTACGGCAAGGTGCTGGACGCCAGCATTTACAATGCAGAGCTCACGCTGAACTATTACTACCAGTGGAGCGCCCCGACGGGCGGGGCCGGCGCCACATGCTTCTTCACGGGCGTGTGCGACGTGACGATCACGCTGAGCGTCACGGTGACCAACGGGTGCCGCTTCACGATCGACGGCGGGAGCGCGAGCGATGAGTGCGGGCGCATCTTTCGCCAGGCGATCGATAAATGCGATACTAGCAGCACGCAGTATAAGCAGGGGGGCACCGTCACGAGCAACTGTGCGGTTTGGAGGATCGATCCCAATATCGATGACTGATCCCAATCAAAAGGGTGCTCGAGGGCTCGCTGGATAGCTTAAAATGTACTTGGAGATGATCTGAGTTAATAGTTACCTTAGTCTTATTCGTGTGTAGGATGGACTAAAATGACTATTCCAATGATGTGGTATCTTTAACGTTTGCATATCAGATGTGCACCACCGGCTACGTGTATCTAATCTCCCTGCATGAAAATAAATAATTCATATTACGAAGAAAACAGTGCGGGATCATGGCCCCAATGAGTTGCCTAAGGTACTTACCTACCTAAACATCCTTGTGAGAGGGCGTGACGGTAGGTAGGTACCAGGTACTGTGGCGACGCTGATACCTCCCGAGGTGGCGCACTGCTATTAGGGGTATTAGGGGGGTATTTTACCTTCTTACTCACAGCGTCCTGACCCCGCCTTCCTCCTACATCTACCTAGGTACTTACCAACATGTACCTACCTACTTTCTTCTACACGAAACACAAAACCCAATCAATCTCCCTTCACGAACAACACACACGCCCGCCACCATGCCATCGTCACAGCCACCCATTGACAAGCTTGGTCCCGACCTACTACTTATGATATTCGATGTAATCGCCCAGGACGATTATGCATCGCTCACCTCTGCCGTCCGATGTTCCAGGGCATGGCAGCCGCTTGCCCAGTCCGCCATGTACGGCGACGTATTTCTGAACCAGCCACGGCTCGCCAAGTTCGTCGACCGGTGCGCCGACACGCAAATCCGGTCTCTCACCGTAACGATGAGGGCCATTGGGGTCCCAGGCGCTCCAAGCGAGGCCAACAAAATCGCTGACGCCAGGCTCGCGAGCTTGGGACGGCTCTGCGCGCGCATCAGACAGATGAGGCCTACGACGGTGTCCATCTCCGTCGACCTGCCGTTTCCGCGTACGGCTGCACGCGAGGTTGCCCACATCGTCGAAAGCCTGTCCCCGTCCTGCACGAGCTTGGAAATCAAGCTGAGCTACGGCAGCTTGCTCTTCCCGCCCGCAGACTTCTCGAGTAGCCCGCACCATCGGCCTCACCTGTGCGAGTCAATTCGTACCGTGCTCCCTCAGCTGCGACACCTCCGCTTGTGCCTGCCGGTACTTTGTCCAGCTCTTTTCTCAACCATCTCGCCCGCTGGCCAAGGTCAGAATCAGCATCGTCAAGCTGTCTCTGCCCCCTTGCTTCAAAGCTGCGTTATCAATCTCGCCCAGCGCACACCCAGCTATCCCCAGGGTGCCTGGACGACACCTTGCAGCGACAACCCGGACCAGGTTCCCCACGGTGGGCAGGAACAGCAACTGCCCTCTGCTCTACCTCCAATGGTCGAGGCCCTGGAGCACTTTGCCAGCCTGAATTCTGGCAACCTGGAGACGTTTTCCGTAATGGATGTGCAGCCGCGGGATCCGACTGTGCCAAACTCCTACGCAGGCTGGACGCGCCGCGACTTCCTCTCCAGATCCAGCTTTCCCATCCCCGTGTTTACCGTCGGCGGCCTCATCTCGGTCATGTTCTACGTAGCTAGGACGCCTTCGCCGAAGAAAGAGGGGGAAACGGAGGACTGGGCGACGCCGTCATCAGGTCAGCTGGAGATGATAGCCGAGGGGGGAACGTGGCTAGAGACCAAGTCTGGTACGCACTTGCCGGTGCAGAAGATGCTGAAGCAGCATAGGGTCGTAGACGCGGCATTGACTCGTGCTCAGTATATGCAGAGGCCCGACAGCGTACGCTGCCAGTTGTGGTATACCGAGGATGATACGGGGGAGCGTGTGCTTCCCACGCGACCTGGGGAGCTGATGCGACGGTGGGAATTGCAAGAGATGTGTCCGCCAGGTTGGATTAGGGCCGGTCGCCATGGGCCGATGGTGAGGGCTTAGGATCAAGTGGACTGGCGTGCTTGAGCTCGCGCTTCGACGTGAAGCACTCGCCACTTCCTGGCAAATGCTCGTTCCGTCACGTCTACCGCGTTGTCCCGGAGTGTTCTAAGCGGTGTCATCTTGTCAGGTGTCTGTGCCTGATCTGGTGGTCGTACGATCTCACAGAATGGACATATGAGTTGCCCTAGATAAGAACAACTGTAAGACTATCTTCAACCCCCCCTAGCACACACACACACAAACACACACATACCACGCCCCCATTACACTTTCCAACTCTGTCATGGTTCCGTGACCTGTCTTTCAAATATGTGAACAGTCCTTAAGATCCCTTCGGCGCGTCCCAGAGGGGTTGATGATCAGATACTGTCATCGTATTACCTGAGGCGTGGTGATCATCGTCAACGGATATGTGAATGCCCCAAGGTTCAGTGGGCGGACACTTGGGGGCATGCCAGAGCTGCTGCATAGACGGAACAGTGAGAGTAATTAAGGGGCTTCACTGGATAGTTCTTTCGACGAACAAGATTTCTTTACTACCTAGTCAATACTGTCGGGCGTAGGGCCAAGCAACACTCACTTGTTTGTACTCGTCATGCTTGACCTGTTGGGAAACACCGTTCGACCTTGGCGAAGCTCGGCTTGTTAGTCCGCACCCTGCCCGATTGCATGGCATCCACATCCATCCTGCAGTGTGAGCTCGCCATCTTTCCACCTATGGGAGAGTATAGTCTATAGAATACTTCAGGCCATCCTCGTTTTGGAACTCCTCGAGACGAAGACTGTGCGTGTTGATCAGACGCATCTTGGGTGATGTAAGGTAGGTTTTGCGCAAGCCGGACGTCGCAACCTCGTGAGCTGCTCTCTCGAGTGATAAGTAGCTGGCGATGAGAATCTCCGCAGCCTGGTCACATGCGACATGAGTGATGCGAGGCTGGAAGGTGGAATAAATGAATCCCAGTACTAGAGGATCCCCGAAAAGGGGGAGACCCTAGTAACTCCAGGCTGCCTGGTGTCAACTGCCAGCTGACAGCACTGTGCCAAGTCGATATTACAGACTGTGCTGACCAGAAATCATAGGAAGAAGTCAAATCAAATGCGGAAAAGCCACACCTATTCGCTAAGAACATTGAAGGATACTTCCCTACGCTGAAGCTCATTGAAGTATTTAGGAGGAGGTTGGCGCTCGTGTTGCCACAATATGCCCAAAGCGCGCGCCACCGACGACCCCGTGTGCGACTCACAAGAAGTCAGGAGTCCAGACTCCAGATCCCAGACTCGAGACTCCTGGATCCCTGCTCGGCCTGTTCCCCAAACGGTTCTGCTACCCGTTGCCAGACAATCTATCCGCAACGCCGACATCCCACCGGCGAAGCTTAACTCAAGTTTCTTTCAACTTCAAGTCCTCAACTTCCCAGCGGCTGCTCCAGTGCCTCATAGACCCGACATCACGACATGAAGCTATCGAACACCAAACCGCAAACCTCATAAAGATCTCTCGTCGCGAGCGCAGCGAGACATCTGATTTATGTTATCACCGTAGACCTGCTGCAGAATCCGAGGCCCGGCACGCCTGGACCCGACCACAGGCCAACCCTGAAACCCGATCATCTCCAGCCCCTGCGACGCGCCCCGTCGCAGAACAACCCTTCGCTTGCTTTCCGATGATTGACATACAACGCATGGGCTCAGCCTCAACCCCCTCAACCCCATGCGACGCGATCTGAGGTCAACGTCGTACCACCACCGTGCCGCCCTGAACATTTCGTGTATTGGAAATTGGAATTCCTGACGAGATCGTGGGGTCGGCCGCCAGTTCCCCCTCTCCCCTCCCCCGTTTTGGTAGGTATCCAGGTAGGCCTATCAAACCTCGTTCTCATTCGTTTCTTCATATCCTTTCCCCTCTCTCTCGCTGCCCACCCTCACTATTCACGTCCATACCGTTGCTTGATGCGAAGTTGAAGATCAGTGATCTGCGTTTTGTGCGTCTTCTATTCTTTCTCTGCCCGGATCCTTTTGCTCGATAATATCTTTTTCGGCCGTCACCGTCGTCGCCGCTACTGCTATTTCGCTTCACGTAATCCCACTCGCATTACTATCTACTATCTTTCGCTATCTCAGCTGGTCTGGAATCCACCTCATAGTCGCTGTTAATCTCAGCATCACGATATCACGACGATACCCCCCATGACGAGTTGACTCCATCCGTTGAGCGGACCACCACCACCACCACCACGACACTATCGTTCATTCAATATACCCGATACCCCGGAGTAGACCTCTCCAACCCTCATTGCAATCATTCATCACCCATCATGAAGACAACCGCCTTCGCCGCCACCCTACTGGCCCTATGCGCCTCCCTCGCCAGCGCCGGCGTGGTCATCACGCCCATCCACGCTGACCAGGTCGTGGCCAAGTCGGGCGGAGACTGCTTCTTTGGCGTATCGACGCCGAGCGGATGCGGGTGAGTAGAATGACCTAGCACCTTTTTTCATCGTTGAGGTTCTAATGACATGTTGCAGGCCTCTACGCGGCTGATCCATACCGACGAACAGTGCCTAGCCTAGCCTGGTCTGAGACGAGGCGGAAGCGACCTATAATCCGCAGATGCGACTCGGGAGATGATAGTCAGCTGGGACGAAGCATATGATGGGAATAGAGGACATGTGGCCGATACATGGCGATGCTAGGAATCGTCAAATTCCCAATACGCCACCGTCGCCATTCCATCCCATCCCTCCGACACTAAGTCGGATTTAATCAGACATCAATCCACCCAAGCACCATACCATGGGCAACTCCCACGCTCGCATCAAACACGCGCCCCCTTAGCTATTCTGCTTACTTCCTTACCTACCTTCTATTCATGAATTGATTTGAAGAATAAGATAGAGGTATAGCGTCGGCGTTCAAAAAAGGTGCAGTAGACAATGTCCGATCACCTGTCGTCATCTTCGGAACGTGATCACAGGCCATTGGACTCGGGACCCTGCGCGATGACAGCTTGTATTGTCCATATATCTTACTTAGTCACAAATATGAGCATATCAGTCTTTCGTTTCTGACCTTCGTGTTGTAAACTCTAGTGCGCGCTCGGCACCTCACTTGCGTAAGTTGCAGACCTAGTATGCGGGTCCTGACCTAAACCCCCAAAAAGAGTAGCTGCGGGATGAAGCTTATAGCAGAAGTCTGAATGAGCTGATTGAATCGATCAATGCCATAGTAAGCTGATATCTCTAAAACTTCAAATGCTTAAAGTACCTCAATCAGTACGCAGCAGAAGCCGCTTCGTAGAAGCGACGCTCTCCAACAAACCTAGTCCAAAGCAAGCTCATAAGCCATACCGTCCTGCAAAAACGCCCCAAACAATGCTGCCGCCACCGCGACCTCGCCCAATTTGATCCTAAGCCACCAACACTAAGCAATGACTGCGACCTCGTTGGTGCCGTTCACCCCATTCGCAGAGCCACTGTTGCCCTCTCGTTTCGGGGCGTATATCCGGAACTGGTAGAATATGATGCAGTCCTCTACTATAGTTCCCAGCGAACCAAGGAGCCATGGGATGGCCTTGATTATGTAGTCAGGCTTCTGCGAGTATGTGAAGACGCTCAACCCATATGTGAAGTTTCCGGTCAACGATAGCAGGAAGAAGAGCAGAGCGAGGCCTTCGTCAGTGTTAGTTAAGGCGAAGCATGGAGGTCGGGAGATGGGGGGCATACCTTCGCACGACTTCTCCCGGTAGTTCTTGATAATCTGCGGTATCCGAGCACTGCACTCTCGTCAGACTTACTTTCCCAAACGTGTTCCAGAACGAACATACCAAAGGTAGCATATCGCACTAGCATATCCCAATACCATGCCCACAACAGCGACCGGCGTATCCATATCCGACTGCTCATCGCCATCAGGCTGGTCCCAAGCTCCAGCCCGGTACGAGACAAACCAGCCCACGGCCCCAACGACGTAAACAGCCACGATGCTGAGCGAGTTGTGCAGCCACGGGTTGCTGTCGGGCGTCTCGTCCTCGCCCGTCACGCTGCGCTTGATAGGATCGAGGCCCGACGCGTGCTGGCGCAGCGAGTTGCGCCCGTGCGAGCCGGGCAGGCCCAGGCCCGTCGACGAGGTCCGGCGTCGGCGCAGCAGGGGTTCGTCCTCGGAGGCCTCGCTGTCGGTCGACTGCGTGCGCTTCCGGGCCGCGCGCGCGTTGCGGACGTTGTAGTAGACGCATTGCGTTATGAGGATCAGGTCGGAGATGCAGAAGTAGCCTGCCAATGCGGTCGCGGTGGGCGCGAGGCCCGTGACGAGGGCGCCTGTGTGACGGGTTGTGGTGGTCAGCTTGTGCGCGTGCCTATGTTCTACTTGTATCGAGATGCTGCAGATAAAGGGGACTCAAACCGCTTGGTTCAGTTGTCGAGTTCGCCCACGCGCATGACCACCGCGCGCCTCGCATCGTGGAAGCTCAAAAAGGGCATAATCCAGTGTATGACATACCACACAAGTTCGCGACATCACCAAATAGCCAGATCGCCAGAAAGCCCATAGACAAGCCCTCGGCGCTCTTCGCTTTGTAGTTCGTGATGAGTTGAGGGAGCTACAGGGCAAGCAAGCAACGTGTCAGCAGCGCTCTTCGCAACCGTCGACAAATGGCGAGATCCTCCCGACCGATCCGACCCCGCGGAAAGACCACCACGTACCAACAGGCAGATCCAGGCCGCCAGGCTGATGCTGCCAAAGATGCCCGAGAGGGCCTCGTTGACGGAGACGCCCCGTGATATGGACTCCATGGCTGTCGGGGAGTACGTGAGGGAACGAATACTGCAGAGGGCGAAGTTCGTATTGCTCGCTAACTTAAGACGCTGCTTAAGAATAGCCGGCCGGCGTCGGTCAATCACTCGATCTGTCCGTCAGGTGGTCCGGTCGTCATGAGGTCAGCTGAATGGCAGCGCAGTCGGTCCTCACCTCAGTCATCGGTGTGGTGCAAGGAGTTTTCTTATCTCTGGTGCTACACAGTAGAGTCTCAGAGATAAGACCAATAACCCTGAGAAAGAATGACACAGCCGAGCAGCCAATTATGACTGCCGCTTGGGACGAATCTGGCCTAGCGTTAGTGATCCGGTTGTTCGGGGTCCAGCAGCCGCTAACGAGAGCGAGGCCGTTGGTTAGACTGTCAAGTTCAATCAGCAGTGACGTCCACTCGTTGGGGACCGACCCCACTCTGACGCTGCGGCTATGCAGGCGGGCTCGGGAAATAACATTTCATAGCCCCTCAGTGGACCTGTGCCACACCACATTAAGAGTTACCTTTAATTAAATAATTATATCATTAACACTTCTACGTTTAATATCCTATTATTAATAATGTATGTATAAAATAATAGTTATTAGCGGGCAATTACTAATCGTACGTATTAATTAAGTCCTATTATCGTTACGGTATATTATTAAGGAAAAAAGTAATGCTTTTTTATTTAATATGTGTTTTTATATATAATAACTTTATGTAATTTAACAATATTAAAGTGTAGTTTTATCTTTTAACAACGCTTTAAAGCTTTTATTACGTTGGCGGTTTTTATTTAATTAGTTTTAAAATACTTACAAAGTGTGAGAAGAATCCATCTATGTATGTAAGCATGATGAGGCTGCCAGTTGCCGTGTCGGGTGACACAGGCTCCGTGGCCCCCATATATAGCGATCGCACACAGAACAGAGTAGATAGACCTTTTCCTGAATACAACAACGCTGTACCGTTCATCACGCACTCATCGGATCTGGGATATTGCTCTCACAAAGGGTTTAGAGTACTTTATATTTTTTCTTTTTAACTTTTATTACTATATAGCTTTGGAAGTGTATATATTATTTTTATTTTCTTATAAAACGAACTTTTTATAGCTTAAATAAGCTTAAAGATTTTTAAAAGCTTAAAAATATACTGCTTCCATGTAGTTACGTTTATGTTACCGTTATTGTTATTAAAATTTATATATTAATAAAGCTTGAACTTATAATTTTAACTTATAATAGCTACGACGTATATTAAAACTTAGTTTAAAGGTCTTTTCTACGGTTTTATTAATTTTAAGCTTTTACGGCTTATATTTACTTCTTAAAGCAGTAACTTTTATTTAAAAGTACTTTCATTTCCGACTTTTAACCTTTATATAAATTTAATTATTGGCTTTTATTTTATCTTTTAACGGTTTACTAGAATAAAGCTTTTTAAAAGTTTAAAAAGAAATTCAAAGTAACATTGCTCGGTAAAAATATATGAAATATTTTAGTTATTATTTTTAAGAAGCTTAAAAAACCTTTTATGTTTTACTTTTTATCAGGAAGGTATCTTATTTATTTTATTATTACCTTTTTTTAATGATAAAAATACTATTTGTATAAACAAGTTATTATAAAAGCGATTATATATTTAACAATTATTATAATAATTTTAACGTTTATAGTTGTTTTTTATTAAGTGTGCTACAAGACTCTATAATTTGATTTAAGGTTTTATTAACGAGATTTTCAGAGTATTTAAATATTTTTTAATAGCGATTTTTTAACTTTATTCCTTCGTATAATCGTTTTTACATGTAATTTCAATTAATCGAAGGTCGTTATAATAGGTTTTAATATTATAATTTGTATATTTAAGCTTAAAACCTGAATTTTATTAAGTAATAACTTTAATAAAAATAGCTAGTATATTGTTTTATTTGAAGTATTGTATAAGGTTATATTGTTATCTTTCTTTCTAGTAAATAAGAGTTTTACCTTAATTATTTGTTTACATCTTCACAATTAAATTAGTTATTAAATATTATTTTTACTCCTATGACTTTAAATCACCTTCGGTTCACGTTTTAAAGCCGTTTTTATTATCTTAGATTAATTTTGATTATGTTAAAAATAATTACATCACCTTAAGACTATTTAAGCGAGGATAGTATTAAGTTTAAAATTTATAATTATAAATAAAACTATTATTAACCTTTTATTTCTAACGTTATTTAAACATTATTATCTTTTTATTATTTTATAATACTTTAACTATACTATTAAAGTTAATGCGAGCGAATATAAAACATTGAATCACTCTTAACTCTTTAATAGAAAGATAATTAAAAGTAAGAAATGCTATTATTAACGTTAACATAAATATTATTATTAATAAAAAAAGTAAAATTTAATAGCGTGTACAGTTGTTAGAATAATAAGTATAAATAAACGTGTAAATATATTATTTATTGTTGGAACAGGCTTGAACGATCAATCATAATACTCGAGTATGGGGTCAAGGTCATGATGTTGCTGATGGTTGGATTGAGAGGAATCTAGCTGGACTCAAAGGTCTGGCCAAGTGCCCTCTCAATCCACTATCTTATCTTATCTAATCATACATGTGGGTCCTGGTATAGATGGTTTGCAGTCTGGAATCGCATGGATCCAACATTTATTATATTAAAGGCTACAACTGGTTTAAAAACTTTTAAAAAAACAACTTTTTCATTATACATAAAGAATCCGTGTCATTTATAATCTTATAATTAATCAGATTTCTCAACGCGGAAATAAGACTTACTATTAATATAATACCCTTTTTAACAACTTTTGATACTGTTAAAAAACGACATTAAAAATTTCCGCGCCTTTTTATTGTAAAAAAAAAATTCGGTCTTTTTACGTATTTAACCTTTTTAAAAAGCGGTTTATTTAATATTTTTACTTATAATATATAATTCAATTACATATAGGATTGACTGCCGCGGACTTTTTAACTTGATTATAATTATAAAAGACTTAACCATAATTAAAAAACGATTTTTTTTTAACTTCACAAGATATCATAATTTTAATAATACCCGGTATTTTTATGTTTTTCTCTTTAAAACTCGTTAAAAATGCGATTGTAACGGTCCACCCACCTGGTCCTTAGCCAAGTGCCCCACCAGGTCACGTGTAGATTAGATAAGCAAGGAACGTGACCACCACTTAAGGTGTGTGCTACGCACACCACCTTGATGGTTTCCTTTTCCTTCCTCACCTTGTTATTTTTATAATTAATCCCAGATTGCAACACGCTGTTGCAGGCATCATGACAGCGATAATAAATTTAAATAAATTTATTACTAATTTTACCCGCTTAAAAATACAATCAACGATATAATTTCAAAGTTAATTAATATATTTAAATACTCTATTATTACTAACATTTTCGATTTAATAAAACCTACTAGCTGCGGCTGTTACTTTATTAAAATTCTTTTTAAAAATGCCTTTTATTTTATATTAATAGCACCATATCGTAAGTAGGTATTAAGACTTAATTAAAAAGCAAGTCTTACTACGAAAACTACTTATCATTTAACCTTTAAATGAATCTTTTTTTATTTAACTTATTTTCAAAAGCAAAATTGTTAAACATTTTAACTTAATTTTAATAACGTTATTCTTATTATCCTGGTTTTGCTTTTTAACTATTCTACGCTTAACGTAGCTGACAAGCGAGTTGACATTACAAGCGAGTTGGCACTCGTCATGAACTCTCCAACTGCCATGTCAAATAACTTCACCACAACGCATTCAGTTCAATTCAATCAATCGGATTCCTCTTCCTCAGAGGTTTCTATCTCTATTGTACAAGTTCGCGCATTATGGCCAGTATTGCCGCAAACGCCACACCGTTGCCCACGCGCTGCCGCCCGCCTTGGATGACGACTACCTTCACCCATTTCCTGTTTTGCCAGCTCAGCACCATGCTTTGTAGCCTGAAGATCTACTGCATCTTCAACGGAAAGTACTCCTCCTTTCACTAGACGTTTGTTTTTTGTTCTCCGGCGTTTACTTAGTAGGTGATTGGCCTCTTCTAGTTCGAGGACCCAGGAATCAACTAAAGCGACCTTATGCATAAGACCGTATGTAGCCTTCGAAAACGAGCTCAATGCATCAATTATTGATGTAGGTGAGCTTCCCTGGTGGTTTCTGACTCGGTTTCGGATATAAACCGATTGGTTTACCGCTTCGTTAATGGTGGTAGGCGTCTTCGAAGTCCAAGTAGTGGGTGGCAGATTGGGGTCTGGCGACGGTGTTCGTATGACAGCGACAGCATCCAGCTTTGAAATAACACTTTCTGGGTCAAAAGGAACAAGTCCAGTAGCACTGAAACCTGCTCGAATGTTTCCTGGCGTCATAACAGCGTTGTGTGCTTCACAAAACGCTGCAAGGAAGTCCTCCTTCGAAACGTGGGTTATATGACGCCGGATGAGATCCTCAATCATGCGACCGTAAGCTTGTTTGAGCGGGCTAAAATAGCCGACATCTAGAGGCTGGAGCCTGTGTGACGAGTGGGCAGGCATACAAAGGGTGATAATACCGTTATTCTGACAATAATCCTCAAAGACCTGGGAATGGTGGCTTTTATGACCATCTAGGATGAGGAGGCGTTTACCGGCAGTCATACGCGGTCTGGTATACTTGTCGAAATGCTGAATCCATTCCAAACCAATCTCATTCGTGGTCCACCCGTTGTCGGACACGGCCACCTTCCAATTGCGTGGTAATATCGTGTCGCGATACCATGACGCAAGGTGGGTTTTGCCCTGTAGAATGATGAACGGCGGGACCACCCAACCATCAGCATTAACAGCAGAGATTGCTGTAGACCATTCCTTGTTGCCTTGCTGAGCTTGTCTAGGCCTGCCACGTCTTTCGGCGCTTGTAACGACCATGCCGGACCCAATAATGCCCATCATAAACCCAGTCTCGTCGAAGTTGTAAGTATCCGCGT